GACGTCCGTGCATACTACATGATCGTCCCTCCATACAATGGCAATTCCACCCGCCGAACCTTTTGCCGGAATTGCCTGCCACCCCTTATCCTTGAGACTCCAGAGACTATTGATAACTCCATTACTATACTCATCCATTTTTGTTTCTTGTAAACATATCACTGTGGGACACCATTTCTTCAGACATCCCTGGATGATTAATCTTTTCTCTCTATCATTAATTTCACGGACATTTCAGGAAATGACATTTCCAATCATTAACAAATCAGTCTAACACCACCAACGCTCTTCCCTCCTTTGCTTATGTTCTCATAATTTATTGATGTTTCCAACCTCTTTAACTCCCTTGATTTACCCCCATTCTGTTTTTTCCTCTTACTGTTTGCCATCCTAGACTTCTTCTTTGAAACCTTTCTCTTTTCTATCTCAGAGAAAAATAAAAAGGTAAGATGTTCCATACCTTTAATCAAGACTCCCATCTGTTTACTGAATTTCTGAACGTTATTTGCCACCCACTATGAACAGTAATCTACCTCCTTCACGGTGATATTCACGTCCTCCAAACTAATTTGTAGGATTTCTTCAATGTTCGTCTGATTCCCAGACACAAGAGCCTGAGGATCATCGTCTACCTTTACCAACAACAGATTCGAGAACAACATCCTCCAATAACGAAACTTTGTTGTCATTATCAAAGTCCTCTGTCGTAGAGAACAGAGAGACCCGCTCATCATCATCTCCCTCACTTGGGTTTTTTTGTTCAGGGACCACTTCACACTCGTCACCAATCTCACTCATTGCCTTTCCCTCAAACCCTAATTTTTCACCTTCGACACTTCGAGCCTCCTTTTCCTTTGCGATTCTCTTTCCAGCGGACAACTTCATTTTAAATCCTGAACATTCCCCCTGAGTCGGGTTAAAACCCATGCCCAAACCAGTTTCGCAAGTTGGACTTGCTTCTATGTCTGGGCCTGTAACCCATTTCTCCTTCTCTTGCCAAGTGTATCTATTTGTCTTACCCGACCCATGCACTTGGTTTTATTCTTGTTCAGACCCGTCATTCGTACATAGCCTTTACCCTAAAGGCCAGGACGACTAAAATTTCTATCATTTTGGGCTAACCCTTCCTCTATCTTATTCGGGTCAACCCGGTCCACCTTCTCTCCATACTTCCTCTGCCTACCCGTTTTGCTTCTCCTTCATCTTTCTTCAGTGCCACCACATATGATTTTGGAGCGCCACCATCTATTGCAACATTAATTCGGAACATTGTAATGCGGATGTGGAAAGGATAACTTCCACGGCCTTTTGGGATGACTCACCTTTTCAATGTGCCCCCACTTGCTTACCCGCCCATTCACTGACTCAAAGTTAAGGGTTTTCACAGGTCTGTCCGCAAGCTCAAACGCAGCAACTAGCAGTTTCCACCAACCTTTACCTTGAGGACCACCGGGAAAAAATATCCTCTTCACCTGCCGATTCCATTGCACTGTCAAAGCTAAGTATTCCCCTCTTCTATTCTTCCCAAAAGAGAACCATAGCTCGTAGTTTTTCTTCACCAAGTGTTTGGTCCATGTCCCCTGTCTCTTCCTCCACTAGAACTCGTCAAGTGCATCAAGAAACCACTTATACTCATCTTTTTCCAAAAAAATCGAACGCCTAAAACCACGTCCATTCTCAGTGATTCTCAAACTATCCAACACATTGAATCGAAAGATTTATTTTCTATGATAAAATAACTTCTCCCAAAAATACTCATTCCAAATACCTAGGTTAGGTGGCCGGTCAAGTTGGCCTACTAGGGACCCAATAGGGCAGTTGGCTAGAGAGAAATTTTTAGAGAGAAAGTTAGAAAGAGAGAATAAAAACCTTGTTTGCAACTTCAGTTTTTTCATGGAAAAGGGACACGGGGTTCTCTAGGGTGAGTACCAAAGAGTTGAGTGGTGGTGCAAAAGTTTAGGACCCAGAATCATGCTGTGATAATGAGCATCGCAGCAGAATGGAACGCAAAGGATAGGGACAAACCCTAACCCTAGTTTTCTTTTACTATTTTGCCTTTAGTGTGAATTTCCTAATTTACCCTTCCGTTTATTACACTCTAAATGGGTTCCTGACAATACTCTCCTCTTGAGTATCAACCTTATCTGCAAAGTTGAATTGTAGAAATTTTTATTTTAAAGAGTCTTCTGTAACAATTTTCTCCATTGTCATTATTGTTTTATTTGAACAATAGTGTCTCGAAAAATACTATTCTTTACACTTGTAACAACTAACCATTGCTCTTCTTGGGTCTGTTTCCTTTCGGAGTGGTGGGTCATAATTTCTTATTTCAGATACTTTAATTTTACTAGTAAGATATGAACATCGGAACAGTTTTATCACATACTGTTCCTGAAGTAAGGCCTGTTCAAATACTTGATTGAGTGTTCGTGGCTTGAGGAGCCTTAGCATGAATTGTAGTTGTGGCCTGAGACTACTGATAAAGGTGTATGAAAAATCTTTCTGAAAGTGTTGAGTTTTATGCATCCATAAGATAGCATAAATATTCAAATTGTTCTAGATAATCGAGAATAGTACCTGTTTTGGCTAATTTGGTGAACTTCTCTATAAAATCTTTCCGTGAGGGTCTCCCGAATCGCCGAGAAAGTTCTTCCACAAACTATTCTCAATTCAGAGTATCAACCTTGTCTAGCCAATCGCGATACCATATATCAGCAACTTTTCTTAAATATAGAAACATAATTTCCATCTTTTGCTCGTCAAAAGTATTGTGGATCATAAAATATTTTTAACATTTTTGAACCGACCTGTGGGGGTTTGCTCCTTTGAAAAGAGGAATTTCCACTCTAAGAAGTACAAAATTATGTAACAAACTAGGTCAATTCATCGTCGTGGGTAGTCCAGTGCAATCCAGAGACTGTATTGGGCTAGTCTGATTCAAGCTGGTTCTGTTTGTTTTTGGCCTGATTCGGGTTGGACCGGGTCGGTTCGGGCTGGTTTGGACTGAACTGCTTCTTCTACCGATTCGATCTGGTTTTTCTCCATTAAACCGGCAAAAAAAGGAAATCCAAACCTAGATTTCGTCCCTTCTACAAGTGCGTTGTCTGGGAGAGGCAGGAGGCCTCTATTTTTGTGAATCTCGGCGGTTGAGGGCATTGAGCTTGCTTCGGTCCGGTCGGCAGAGCTGCTGTGGATCAGATCCAGGATCGTGGTGAGATGTTGACGCGTTTCCTAGCGGAATGCGTTCATTTTGTCCATGAACGGGGAGAGTTTCAGGTCGACCTCTTTCGTGGTGATCGTTTCAGGGCCCTCTAGTTCGGTGATCACAGCCTTCCCTTTGGACCGAGTTCGTGTGGCCACACCGGCATAGGATTTAGCCGGTTCGGCCTCTAATACCAACTTGTCAGAAGCCTTTGACATGATTTTGATTTGAAGGAAAAATAAAAACGAAGAAAAAGATGAAGAATGCTGAAGAGAAAGACAAATAATTTTATTAATTGATTTTCTGATGGTTACGAGTGATAGAAGGTCTTTTATAGGCCTCAATACAATAAATAAAGGCATTCTTCTTGGTGGAATCATGCTTGCCGGAATCACATGGTGATAATGAGCGCAGCGTCGCGGCGGAACGGAATGCAGAGGGCAGGGACCTCGACTTGTGGATTGAAGAGATGATTAGGATTGACAAACCCTAACCTTAGTTTTCTTTTACTATTTTACTTTTTGGTGTGAATTTTCTAATTTACCCTTCCTTATATTACACCCTAAATGAGTTCCTGACATTCATACACACCCTAAGCCATTGTTCATAATTTTGTCTTCGTACTAGACCGTGCAATAACATTCTATTTTTACTCCTCCATGTCACAAGATTTTTGCCAAAAAAGGTGCAATTTCTAGAGATTGACCTCCTGTCAACAATGGACACAGCATAATCATCATCCATCTATTCCTTGAGTACTAAACCTCCATTCCTTTTGAATAGAATACTATAACACTTGGCAAGTTACCTGCAGATAAACTTTCTTAGGGTCATGCCTGAACAGTTTGATTACGCTCATCCCATATAACTATATCTGATCATGTATGAAATAGATAAATGAGACTTGCTACCAGACATTGATATATTTTCCTATCTACTGCAACATCCTCCTTTCCCTTTCCAAGTCTAAGATTTGCGGCTGTTGGAGTACTTAAACCCTATCTAGAGCTAACCACCTCAATCTTAAGAAAATATTCCAACCTTCGTCTTAATCTCAAACTCTTTAGCAAAAAACTGACTGAGAAATTGTCTCTCCTTCTCATATATTCTCTGTCACTATTATGTCATCAACATATAATAGGAGAATTGTGACTCTCCTTATAGGTGAGTGTTTAATAAATAAAGTATGATCCCCTTGGCCTTCTTTATATCTCATGACCATCATAACTTCCACACTAGACTATGCCTGTCGTGATTACTTAAATTCATATAAGGCTCTTTTCAACTTACACACTATATGAGCAATCAACTTATCCTTATAACCTGGCGGGACCTCCATATAAATTTCTTCCTCTAATTCTTCATGAAAAAAATGCATTCTTGACATCAAACTATTGCAATTCCAGACCATAATTAGTTGTCAATGACAACAAGATTTCTAACATCATTCATCTTTGTAACCAGAGAAAAATCTCTACATAATCAATTCTATAAGTTTGAGTATAACATCATACCCTTGCTTATAGTTCGTGATGTTGAGATTGAAGATGGAAAAAAGGAAAAGAGAGAGAAATGAGAGTTCATCGAGAGAGAGAGAGAGAGACAAAGAAAGTTAAACTGGTTTAACTTTTAATTTCTTCTAGAATGAAATCTCACAATAGAGGGCCATATTTATAGGCCAGGTAGAGAGAGGCGCACCTGTTGGTTACAATAGCCAGATCAAGTGCATTGATCAAATGGGAGCATAATCTAATTACTCTTCTACGCTTTCTTTTTACCATTACTTTCCATTTTACCTTTTTTCCTATGATACATTTTAAGAGGCTTCCTTACAAGGCCTTCTCCTTTAGCAACAATCTTGTCCTCAAGGTTGAGGTCGGGGAATTGTTGACAGATGTACACACAGTCCTTCAAAGAGATAAAGACCTGGTCCACCGGGTGATTCCCATGTAATATGGTCCTTTGTTGTGGCACTTGCTTTGGTTGAACATTTATTATGCCTTCCCAATTGCTGGCAGGTAAGTCTTTTACTACAATTTCTCTACCTGCAATGTAGTTCTTTAATTGGGACACATGAAAAATCGGGTGGATATGGGAGGACAGAGGCAATTTGAGCTTATATGCCACAAGTTCAATCTTCTGTATTACTTCAAAAGGACTAGAGAAGCGGGGGATAATTTGGAACCTTCATCCTGTCGTATCAACCCCTGCTTAAATGGTTGCAACACTAGGTCATGCTCCTTAAAGCTTCTTTCATTTTAACGGGCGTCGACATACTATTTGGCTTGTAGTTGAGCTTTTAAGAGGTGTTGCTTGATCGGTCAGTTAGACTCATTCCTTTTTGCAATGAAGAATTTTACTAAATGTGAGGAGGAATGTGGGTGGATAGCATCCAAGAAGCATGCAGGAGCATATCTATATGGTACTTGGAAGGAGGTCATGCCATGTGGTCTGAAGTATTATACCACTATTCTACAGCGGGAAGCCACTTGGTCCAAGTTTTAGGTTGTTTTTTCTTTTTGAAATAAAAAGTGTAATTTTTAGGTTGTTGATGGGTCATGCACTTGAAGTACATCTCGAGACATTGCTTGAGTCAGTTCTGTTTATTCATCTATTTAAGGGTGGTAGACAGAGTTGAAATGAAGATTAGTTCCCACAACCTTGATCAATTCTCTCCAGAAAAGGCTGATGAATACTTTATCTCTGTCCGAGACTTAAAGTTGTGGAATACCATGTAACTTATGAATGGTTTCCATGTATAGCCTAACTACTTCTTAAGCTGTGAACGGGTGGCGCAGTGGTGTGAAGTGCCTTTATTTAGTGAGACAGTCTACCACCACCAGTGTGGTCTTTTTACCTTCAGACTTGAGAAGTTGTTCGATGAAATCCATAAATATATGAGACCATGCTTGAGAAGGTATGGGTAATAGTTGCAGGAGTTTAAGTAACGGGGCCTTCTTGGCTTTACATCGTTGACAAGTGTCACAATACTTTATTTAATGATTCTTCATGTCTAGCCAACAAAAATGTTATTTTGCTCTGCCATAGGTAGTCCTGATTCCTTGGTAACCTCTCACTGCTGAGTTGTGGTATTCATGTAGTAATCTAGTTTCAATGACTATGTTGTGGATGCTTTCATCGGGAAAGCTTATGGTAGGCATTTTAAGAAAAAAACTGCATAAAAAGCAACTCATAGGAGAGTTCTAATTAGGAATATTCCAATACTACCTGGTTTCCTTAAAAGTGTACAACTTTTATTTTCTGTACTTGTTTCCTCTTTCAGTTTATTATTTCCTATCTAGTTAAACTTCGTAAATAAGCAATGTAACATCTATTTAAATATGCTTTGCTCCGTCAATAAAATAAGTCAGAATTTATACTCTAAAAAGTTGGGATCTCCCTAAGAGGTTCAAGGTGACAGCTCCCTCTTGATGAGCTTTGGGTATTCTCAAAAATGGATCGTAGCAAGAACAAAAACAAGGGTGATAATCCCTTGAGTGAAGGAGACTTTACAGTCAACTGCCCGGTGACAAGGTCTTGGGTCAAGGAACACAACAGACTATCTCCAATTACCAATCTCCCTTTATAACAGAGAAGGCCATGATGTAGATTGAAAAGGGGCTTGCTTTCCAGGGATATCAACAACTCTTTAAATACTTGTTGGGTAAAAGAATATTGGTATATCTTTTTAATACTTTAGATGTCAAGCAAAAATTGTAGTCGAGACAGTGTAGGGACCTCAGCTGCAAGATCCTCTTATTCCCTTATTGAGGGAGCATCTGCAGCAGTACTGGAAGAACCTTACTTATATTGAATGGTGCAATCCAGGCCTAACAATTTCATGATGCCTTTCTGTTGGATCATAAAAGATATGGTTTGATCCAGCAAATATTTCAGACTTCTTTGATCTGTCTTGATGAAAAATGGAGTCCCTTCCAAATAATGGCACCACTGAGTTACTGCATCCAACACAACCATGAGTTCTTTTTCATACACTGGTTTTGCTTGGTTTTTGGGACTGAAGTCCATACTTGTGAAAGCTATGGGCCAGCGTTCTTGCATTAGTACTGCTCCAATCCTTTTATTACTGGTATCAGCTTCACCAGCAAACGGATTCCAAATTTTGGCACTCTCAGTATTGGACTGGAGGTCATGACAGATTTTAAGTGCTGGAAAGTTGATCAGCCTCAAAAGTGTCATTGAAATGCTCATTTCTTTAGTATGTCTGTAAGTGGTTGGGTTCTCACTTTGCAATGTTGTATGAATTTGTGGTATTATCCTGTCAAACCTAAAATCCTTCAAGGGTTTTCAAGGTCAGTGGCAACCAACTGATACAGTTTTTATCTTTCTTGGGTCTACTTTTATCTTTCTTTAGTCTTCTACTCTCTTTCTCATACTTTATCTTAGATCAGTTTTTGAAGCCAATAATATGTAAATAAATCTATTAGCAATGAAATCTTAGCTGTAACATCTGTCTCACCTTTGATCTGTAGCAAAATGCAGCCGGGTAACTTTCAACCTGAAAGATATCCAAGAACTGCTTCTTCACTGCCAAATGTTTGTCAACTGAGAGGACCACTCTGACAACAAGCTCGTCTACTCCTGGAACCTAGTAGTCAGTAAAGCATTATACATTACAAATTCCAGAGTAAGATTATGAAGCATAAAGTTCACAAGGAGGAACTATACAGATTGAATCTCCTCCCCCCCCCCCCCCATATGTTAAAAACTTCTGTAGAGAACATTATAAAACAGTGTTTGCATCTTACCTTGTCAATGCTTGTTCTCGTTGCTTTTGCTTTTTCCTCTCTCTCTTCTTGGAGGGCATTATAAAGTCTTTGCTCCATGTACTTGCTAAGCTTGGTGCTTGGCAGATCTCTTGCAAGTGAAATGGCAGCATTTTTAAGTGGTGTATGCTCACCATTTTGAATTTCTTCTAGCAAACATTTGGGGCATATATACTCAGCTTTGCCTTCCATATCTTTCTTATCATTAAAGAGAGAACATATTTGATGCTGCCAGCCTTCACATTTATCACACTGAACCCACTGCATACACATTACAAAATGAGATGCATGCTTTCTTTAGTTAGGAAATACAATACGCATGGTATATTAGCTTACTGATTCTTCAGCTTCATCATTGTTTCTTCTTTTCTGAAGTTTCGCCTTAGAGATGGTGATTCCATAGAATGTGATAGTCCCACCTCGAGAATCCTTATAGCATAGGGTACACAAACAATGTCGGACACCATTTTCTTCTGGTGTACTGTAATAAATCACACCACGTCTTATGCGAACCCCACAATATGAACAGTACACTGGAATTGGGGCAAACAAAAGGTTATCTGCTCCACACAGCTGGCATGAGTTCTCACTTAAACAATTTATTTGTTTGTTTCCCGTCAATGGCTTTGGCAAAATCTATTTGAAGCATTTACAAGCATATTAATGCTGGTAATAGCAAAAACTTTATTCTAATAAATGGTACTTGCAGCTAACGCGTGAAGAAATTTCTAAAAGTCTCTTTTGTAATACTGGGAACCAAAAAAAAAAAAAAAGACTTATCACTAACCTGATGCAGTTACATCAAAGTAGAGGGCTAATTATGTAAAAGTTCTTTGTTATGTTACATAATAAAAGATGGCATGGCACAAGTTTTTTTCTGGAAGATAAAAAACTTGTATCTATCCCGAGAAAAGGAGGCAACCACAAATACATGAAACGTTGTCACCCATGAAAATAATCAGCAGAAAGAATCTTACTGCATATCCCATTGGATATCAGGAGGCATGCATAAGTAGTTGTTTCAGTACTGATACAGTGTTCACATATGTCATACTATTGGATAAGTAAATACAAAATATACAATAAGTAATTCACTTTTAACCAAAGTAACCAACAATGGAGATTCTGCTCACCTGGTTCTGTCTGAGACTTGATACATGTTCTATTATTTCCTCTGCCATGAAATTTTCCATTAAGGACACACCCTTTGGTCTGGGATCTTTTGACCTACCTGTTCCACAGGGCTCTGGTACAATAACCTTGGTTTTTATTTCTGGCTTGGCCAGGAAAACCTGGGTCCTAACCTCCGGCACCTCCTTTTCGCAACCAACACTCAATTTTTCAGCAAGGGGAGGTGCCGACTTTAATCTCAATGAGTTAGGATAATCTGTAACATTTTCTAATCTGTCACCATCACTTCTGATATCCATATTATCATGAATATGACTCCTGTGGATTTCATGAATTTCTTGAAAAGACGAAAGCAAATATTTGGAATTTGATTTAGGAGATTTGCCTACATCATTTGCAGTCTCACTGATGCCTTTAGAATCTTTATTGAGATTTGTCAACAGATCCATATTCACTTGCATAACCTCTGAATTAATTGATACAGGAGAATCAGGAAATTGCTGCAAGGATGGAAATCCTCTAAGCTCCACAGGATGAGCCTTTGATGGAGGCACTGCATGAGAGATTCCACTCTCAGATGAAAATGGAAAAAATGTATTTTGCATCTTCAGCCGTTTGGCAGGATGCAGCATGTCTTGACCATCAGCAAATCTGAATCCACCAGAACCGCTGTCCAAGAAATTCCCCTGGGGACCTCTCCTTTTCTGATGAAGTTTTTCATGAGTATAATGATTCCAGACAGGCCCACAAATATTACAATTATCATGTTGGCAATCGTCAAAATGAATCAAAAGTGACTGAAACAGTTCGCAGTTGCACATACAATCATCACATGCTCGTGAATGCAAGTAACTTAGAAAAGAAACTTGGTAATTCCTTGTTGCCGATCTCTTGTAACTGACATAAGAACACAGAATTTTGTGCTCAAGAGAATGCTGCAATAGATTACTAGATTTTACATGTCCTGATTCTGTTGGGAGCTGAGTCTGTGCCCTTGTTGCCTGGCAGGGTTCGACTTTCTCATGGAAACAACTTTGTGCTTCAATCTTTACTGGTGCACAAAGCTGCAGATGTGGTTGGTGAAGCCATGTGTCACTCTGTTGAGACTCCAACATATGTAAGTGACGTTGCTGTGAGCACTCAAAATCTGAGTTCATTTTGCTGAAGTCCAAACATGAAAAGCTATTAGACACTTCAGGGGCCATCTGTAAGGCATCTTCTGATATCAGTAAATTTAAATCAGATAACACCAAGTTCTCTTGAAATCGAGATGGAACGTTCATTGAATATGTTTTTTGGATATTCCCTGCACCAACTGACTTGCCTGCAAAATTTATATTGGGAAACATCACAATGAGACAACAACAAGAGGTGTGAGAAGGTTGCAAGATAAGGACCGGATAAATCTTCCAACAACACTTTAAAAATCAATCTACAAACTAGAAGGTCCAAGTTCTTCAGTCAATTGCTGAATGATAAGGCAAAAAACTCTTCAGTCAATTGCTGAATGATAAGACAAAAAACTATGGAAATTAAGTCACGTGCATTAATTGTTTACAAGATCCAGGTTCTGAATTCTAAATGTGACGGAGCATACATGCAGATGCAGGCACAGCTGTGAATCCAATGTAATAGTTAGGCATACCAAGTAATTGCTAACATCATGGTAGTTCCACCCGGGCTTAATTGTGCAAGATGATACAGAAACCTACTTCAATTCGTATTAAAAAGCTTTCTTTTTTGACAAATAATTTTAAACATGGCAGGACATATGCCAAACTTTAGCAAAAAACTGTCAATGGTATAGGTCAGAGCCCCAGGGAACTAGTCAAGAGAGCATAAGATGAGTCAGAAATCAGGACGCAATTGGCAACAGTCAAGTATCGTCACTTCTTTTATTTGTTTATTTGAGCAAAGTATCAGCAGTTATTTAATATGGAGTATCATACTTAACTTGAGAGGAAACATGGGACCAGAGAAAAAAAAATTAAAAACGAACAGAATTTTTCGGAGGCTCTCCCTTCGGGTCCTTGACCAATTAAAAAAAAAAAAAAAAAAAATCTAAAGTTTAGAATCATCTAATACAACGAAGGATGATCCCATGTGTATTAAATAGCTTGTTCACTAGCACAAACTTGACAACAAATTAATTTGACTGAACACTAGACTAAGGATAAAAGATTACAACTTAGATTGATAGCAAACAAGTCAACCCTTCCACATTGCATAATTAACTATTTAGGGATAAAGTTAATTAATATTTGAGACTCATGAGTTTGTATAGTAGTATGTTATCTAGGATGTGGCAGTGTAACAACAAAAACCTTCAAAAGTAAACTATTTGTTCTATATAAAACAATGCTTCTGAAGGCTTATCAGGATAACAGACCTTAGAAGCAGCATCAACGAATGGTTTCTTATTGAGAAAAGTAGCAACTTCAGATGCATGCTGCCCCTTATTGTGGCCAGACCTCCTGTTGAAAATTTTGGAATGGCAGCAAGAATTCAGTTCTTGCTAACATTAAAACAGAATATACATACTAAATTCTTTTTCTGTATCAATAGAACATTCAAGAAACATTGTCTCCAATGGTCAGTCTTCCCATTGAAAATTTCAAAAAGAAAAGCAAGAATTTTGATAATCACGAATATTTATTGCATGTAAGATAATGCATTATGTGAGTATACCAAATCAGGATTTAATTTTGTGTGTACTCTACTATTCCTGATATTGAAATTTCAAAGATAATTTAGTGCAGCATGGGCAAACTTTTGAAACTTACATTCTAAAATCATAAGAACACTGGGCTTTGGCTTCCTCACGCCAGTTATTGAAGGCATTATTAATGGTGGAATGATGCAGACCATTTCCTCCAAACAGAGAAGAACTTGAAAATTTTGAGAGAGGATGGCTTGGTATCTGGCCAAAGGTCTGTCCCAACATATACTTCTTGGCATCCATCTTTTATGGAATTTTATTCATCCTACAAGCATTGGTAGTCACTAGAAAATAAAAATAAAACAAAAAAGATAAAAATAAACAAAAATAGAGAAAAAACTCACCATATTAGTAATTTCATCAGAGTCATAGATTAAAAGAACTTACAAGTTAAAGACAAAGAAACAGAATCAACATTTGGAAAAGGAAAATAGACACTCCTAATATAACCTTGAAGGAAGGAAAATTTAAAAAAAAATAATAGTAATAACATACAATAGCAATTTTAAAGTACTATCTCCTTCTGAAATGTTCTAAACCCAACAAAGGAGCATATTTTTAGTCTCACAGAACTTTCTGTACATCAACATGTATTTAGTCAAGTACATCACTCAGCTTTTAATATCCAATCTAATTGACATTCAGCCATATTTTGACATGCATCAACCAAAAAGTTTACTGTTAGCTGCTTAGTTACTGAAGAACCTTCCCTGCTAGCTACATAAGTTGACCATGCTTGCACAAAACGCTAGAAAAGATTGTACCTCAAGGAAAAATTATTTACAGACATAGACGAGCCAACAAATTATTTGGATTCCTAATCTATACAATGTTATCCTTTTTTCTAATGTGTCAAATTTAATACTTAATCACCCCCAAAAAAAGAAAGATTTGAAAAGAATAAGTAAACTTCATATTAACAAATGGGTTATCGATAAACACCCGTTACACTGATCATTCTTAGATTCCAAAGGTAACAAACATCCGTTTAAGGATTGCCATGTCATGACTCAGGCTGCAGCTGGAGTAGGCTTCAGTTCGATGCAACATATAAAGCATCTATATGTTTATTAGTCAAATAAACAATAATAATTTATCATATCATTATCTTGGATAACATAACCAAACATAACTTTCATAATTCAGACCTCAGAGTAAGCATTCGACTTTTCCAACTTCACCTCAGAACGTACTGATTTTATTAATTCCACTTATAAGAAAATTTATGTAATTTTTTCTCCACGATAAGTTTGTTTAAAAAAATCTGATTTTTCTCGATCTACTCGTGTGATCCAGGGGGTTTTTTTATATACGAAGAATCATATTTCATTCTCCCTCTGTGAACCAACCTCATCTGTCCTTTTGTATCATAGGGTTTTTTTCAATCGGCTACCGGTACGAGTTGCCCCAACGAAACTGGATTTCAATTACCCGAAAAGAATAAGAAAGAGAGAACCAAAAGAAGAACCTTGATTCTCGTAATATAAACTTCATTTATCTCACTTTTCGACTCCGTCATCTCTCTCAATCTGAAAGATCAAGAACCGAAAAATCAACAACCAATGTTCTCGCAAACCCTAAACCAAAAAAGCGACCATTGCTGAGGTCAGTTTTAGCGGGAAAAGATTCAAAAGAGTTCAAGATTAGGGCATTTTCGGTCTTCACCACGACTAGGTCTACTCAATTCGAAAAACCCTCAAAACCCAAGAAGCGATGGAAGAAAAAGACTCGGAAAGAAAATGAAACGAAGGGCATTATTACCACCGATGTTTCGGTTTAAAGAGAGCAAATTAGCCACAGCTGTTGGTCACTGTTCACCACGAGTAAAACCCTAATCGAATCAGAGAGAGAGAGAAAGAGGGAGGAAACAGACCTTTTCCCTTGGTTCTTTATTTAGGGTGTTCCTCGTCCTTCGCGATTTGTGGGCCATCAGAGACAGTGATGTTTTGTCTTCTCGTATTCTCCTCGTGGGTTTTGATTTGACAGAAAGGGAGAAACATGTCATATAGTTATACATGTAGTCTGTTAGTAACCTGTCTGGTCAGGATGGAGACAGAACTTTTCCCTTGTGGGGTCCACTTCCCAAGCAATTGACTTCTTTTATCTATTTATTTTATTTTTTAGATATTGAGAAATTATCTTCTTCAGCAAAAAAATGTTGACCACAACTGGTTTGGATTAAGTTGACTTGCATTATTTTATTTTGTTATTTAATTTTAATAGGTTTTTAAGGGATAAAAAAAGGAGTTGGATATTTAATTTTTTTTTTTCTAATTTTTAGATTTAAAAAATTAGTAACTTAATTATATTTCTTAATAATAATGGTCTATTAAAATATTAAGAAAGGTAATTAACCAATGGATTAATCCAAAAATTTTTTATTGCAAAAAACTTTAAATTGTTTTTTTTAAAAAAAATGTTCATACAGAATTTTTTAAATTTTATTACATTTTATTATTCCAGATAAATCATAAATTTTTATATACATAGTTATCAAATTATTTTATGTTAAGGTACTAAAAATTTTTATTTTTTAATTTAATTGTGTCTTCTTGTTTTATTTTTTTTGAAACGATAACAAAAATAATATTTAATATAATAATAATAATAATAATAATAACAGAAATGATAATAAATATAAATTATTATTGACTCTTTTTGACAATCTCCTCCTCTTGTATGAAGACTTTTTAATATAATAAGAATGATGGTGTTATTAAAATAGACTTTGAAACATTTATTCCTCTATTTTAATCTCTCCCTTACTCCTCCCATCTCTTTGCTTTTACCCTAAATTTTTGTGAAAATAATGCAGAGATTACTTCTCCTCAACTTGGACTAATTAGAAGGAAGTCCAGAAGAAACTTAAGTTAGCTAGCAATCTGAAATTTTAACAACATGCGTGCGGCCAGGTGATAGAGAATGCACCAAGAATATGGATCCGATTATATCTTAATCACATTACAAGAGCGCCAACACGAGAATCATATGAAACAAAACATGATAACACAATCTAACTTCACAATGATCCATATGCAATTCATCGCACAACAGCATTCCTCCTAGTTGGTGAGAAATAAATCCATTGCGGATTTGCTAGGAAAAAGCATCTTCAAATGTTACATGAATGCCTTCAATGTTTCCCTTGGATAGAAAGGGGGTTTGCAGGTCCAAGCCTAAATCATAATTATTGGCACATGATGCCCATAATCATTATTTATTCAGCGAATTTAGTGACAACTCATATTACTGTCACATGATGCCATTCACCTCCAGCTCCGATGGCGATGCCAAGAATCTAAATCATAATCTTCTCTACTGTGATAATCTAGGTCATCATAATCCCGATCATCATAATTATCTTTGTCATATTTGGACGAGCCATGATCTCTAGGTGAAGCATACCTGTTAGATGACGAGTACGGGGACGAATTATGCAAACCACGAGCAGCAAAATCCTCATGCACCAAAGGGCTTCTTTTCCCTCTGTCAGATTGTGACCTCCCTAGCGTAGGACTTCTTGGTCTTGGAAAATTGTCTCTTGGACTGTACGAACTGTAACCAGAATCATACCCTCCATGATACCTTGGAGGATAACTAGACCTGGAAGGGCTGTGTATTGGATCAACACCAGGAGGTCCTTCATCTCTGTAATCCCCAGACCACCTTCGCTCATGGTGATGCTCTCTGCTGCTAGCTTCTGAAGAACTATTCAATCTGTGGTGTGATCGGTTCCGAGATGGATCAGAACCTGATGGCCCAGGTGCCCAAAGCCTTTCGTCAGCATTTTCTGGGATTGGTGCATTTATTCCTGGAAATTCAACAGTCATCTTCCTCTCTAGTTCAGGATGTTCTCTTTCAACAATTTCCCCATCTTCACATTCTTCCTTCACTTCCCCATCAACATATATTGTAATGCCCGATGGCTGATCTTCATCATCTGCATCTACATCTCGAAGAAAGTTGCAAGAGAATAAATTAGATTTAAAGTTAAAAAAAGCAAAGATGCCAAGACAAATTTAGAACCTATTGGTGAATGATATTCAAAAACTTCACTAGACAATAGAAGCCTTTACACTTGTTGACATAGATTGAGACAGGTGAACCCATTCTTCCCACATCGAAAAACATAAACAGATCCAAAGAAAAACGATGAATTATGATTAATTTTTTTATTATCTGCCCGTTACATAGAAGTCACATCTCAGGACATTTGAACTTTTAACCTCTAGGAAAGAGGCAAGGAAGTACACGACTCGACCAAGAGGCCAAATGTGCACAGTTATCATGATATTTACCACCCAAGGGACTATGAGCAAACATCATAGGGTGAAAAATCTGAGGAAAAAGAAAGTCAAGCAAAAAAACACCCTAAGAAGACAAAGAAGGAAAAAGCAACTAGGTCAAACCACCTGTGCCTAGTTCTTTATTCCAAATCAGCGGGAAGTAAGACAGACGTACAAAGATAAGCACATAAGCAAATATAAACCTACCTAGATATCCTGGTGGATAACCAATCTCTCTCATTCTGTTTAGCCAAGGGGGAGGATCAAGCTCCTATACCAAAATAACATCATAGAAAAGTCAGATTCCATCATATCAGGTTAGTTTCTCTCATTAACAGTTGTTAAGAAAAAAATCAATATTTGAACCAGTTATGGCATGTTTGTTTTTGGAAATACAGTTATGGCCATGTTAAACAATAAATAATTATCTCACCAGTGCAAACTACCGTAAGCAATCTCAATCGTATAGAAAAGAAGCAATAACATAAAAACATAATGAATCTGCAGAAGAAATATTAAGCATATAAATCACCCCCAATTATTCTTAAGCATTATGGGACTAAAAGCAATAAAAAAATCATAACAAAAGATTGGTCGTTTGTAACATTTCCAGCTAGGGTAAGTATGGGGCGAGGAGCTAGTGGCTGTCAACAGTGGATATTATTTCCAATGAAAGATCCTCTTTTTAGCTCAGCTTTTTCTTATTTTTTTGTCAACATGAATCTACAACCTCTCTTACAGCATTTTAAGTTTTTGTTACAAGTTTGGTAAATTACAAAGAGTTAATAATTCAGACAGTTGATAAGTTTTAAAACAATCTTTTAAAAAACCTATTGGGTGTAACTCTAATTTTGGAGATTTCATACAATCTAAAAAGAACTATGTTGAGCAAGTGAAAGTCCTTCAATAATTTTATTACTATACAATCAGATTGTCCTACTTCTATTTCAAGGGTACCTTTTTCTTGTAATTAGGACAGAAATAATAGCTTATAAATCACATTTTACCAAATACGTAAATTAAATTAATACAACTTATAAGCTCGTGTAACCATAATACTCTAACAGTTTAATTTCTAAAAACATTATATTAGATTATAAGCTATTTAAAAGCTTATAAGCTCTATGCTCCTGCATTTCAATGCTACATGAACACCCTCTAACACTATAAATAACAATAGGATGATATGCTCAAGGAATCTAATCAACCAGTAGAATAGTGGTGAATTAAGAAATTCACCAGGAAAAAAAAAAGTTGTTTTGAAACAGAACCAAAAGAGCCACATTACCCCAAGTCCCAAAAGTTGCCTTGTTTCAGCACCAAGAACACCTGGCTTTAAATCATCATATTTTCCACCTGAAGAGTTCTGATAATATCGAGTTGGCAAACGAGATCCAGGATTCTGATTTCTTTTTGTCTTGTGTTGTTTTCGTGCATTATTCACGGCAACTCTATCAAGTGGCTTTGGGCATTCCTTCAAAGAATGATTATAAGAACCACAATTGAAGCAACGGGAAGCATCACCTATGATCTCCAAGCCTCTGTAAGAAGTATGACAAACATACAGATAAAATGAGCATCTCAATAAGTATATTATATAAAATGCAATAATGGAGAAGAAAAACAAATATGATTTTTGTCAACCACTTATGCTAGCACGTATAATATATATATATATATATATGTATGTATTTACATGTCCAACGTTTTACTAATTCACCTATAAAATGCAAATGTACAGTGAACATACCCCTCTAAATTACTTGAACCATCTACTGAAGTCAAACCTTGAGCATATCCACGATCATAGAGGGGCACACTGCTACCATCCAATGGAAGAAATCCCCTATTCAGCTTATTACTGGTTTGGTTGTCTATCCAGAATGACTGCAAAACAAATCAAAGAAAGAAACATAAATAACCACTAGCTAATCATCGAAAACTAATCAATCAAACCCATAATTATCTTCCATGCCAACCCAGCTCATGCTGACCCAAAACAAAGACATGTAAACAATGTATTGTTCTTCACTCTCTTCTAAAGGACCTTATCAGATACTTAAAACTGCCAATAACAGCATCAGCTAATCCTCCATCTAATTGTCCCAAGTGTTCATTATCATGTTCTTTTCTTCAAAGTTGTTGAATCTCATAATCATCTGTCCCTGCACTGTGATATGTCTTGGAGATTTTGGTCTCACTTGTTTAATACGTTTGGTATTTATTGGGTCACTCCTTTTTACCTTGAAGAGCTTTTGTCTTCTGCTCTACATTGTGTTCATAGGAGGAAGGAGGTTAAGGTTTTATGGGGCAGAGCTGTTTTCATTGGGTTGTGGGTGATATGATTGGAGCAAAATGTCAGGATTTTCAGAGATCTTGAATCTCACTTTTCTTTTCTTTGGGATTGGGTGTCTTTTCTGGCATGCATTTGGGCTGCACATAGGTTTTTTAGAGATTATTCATTGTCTATTTTGCACAAAAATTAATCAGGTATCACCTCTTGAGTATAATGAGTTTCTCTCATTTTATAGTTTCTTCTTTTATTCGGGGGATAGCTAGTACTCTGTGGTTGTTCTTCTCTTTCTCTATCTAATAATACTTGTTTTCCTATAAAAGATTATCTTCTTATCAAATTCTCAAGAAATATATTGTCTAATAACTTCTCGTTAGCTTCTCTCGCAAATAATCTACCAAATGAACAGAATTTGCTTGTAAACTCAAGTCACAAGAAGAGCAAACCCCAAGAAAACAAAATGTTCAGTCACTGTGTCATTTGTTGAAGATCATAATTATTCAAATAAATTTCTTTGTCATTCAAGAAAAACAACTCTTCTTTCTTTTGAAAAATTCTGAAAAAGGGATCTTAAAGCATTAGTGGCGGCATTCAGGCTCAAAATTCTTCAAACAAATTATCCTTTCTTCAAAAACAGGGGGATAATTTCAATATATTAAGAGCCTGCTTAGATTTGCCAACAAACAGTTTTAAAAGCACTGGGTTCTTATAAACAACTTAAATCATGTAGACGTTATTTTCGGAAAAAAAAAATCACGTAGATGTTGATTCGAAAAATAAGTATTGTGTTTGTATAAACATCATTTGACAATTAATAAACAATTGTTGTATCTTGGTTGATAAAAGGATAAATAAGGAGGAACAATAGGTGTTTAAGCGAAATATTAAAAAAAGGTCAAGGTGGTGGTGGGCACCAGCAGCTTATAAAAAAATTCCCTAACACTCTTAAGGAAATTATACCAAGGAGTTAATCCACTCAAGTCACTCTTTATGGTAACCAAAATTACAGGAAAAACAACTTTGACAATTGACTACTAAAATAATATAGCATTAAGTTTCATAATAATTTTATTGCCACCAAACTAGATCTATAGTAAAAGAAGACATAAAGAAACTTACTACAGCGGAGGACTTCTCCACTCCAATACGCAGAGCCGGAAAATAAGTCTCTTCACCAGATTCAAGAACTTGATCTGGATCCTGAATAAGATAAAATATATATTTAAACAAGTCTTTATTAAGTGCAGAACTTCTTTTGAAAGACATGCAGCAGATGCAATAGGACAAATATGTACATTTATGGTAACCTGTTTATACAGATTTTAAACATGTTAATACAACATGCTGTTTGTTATTAATTGTTTTTCCCTTTTTTTATTAGCTAGAAACAAATATAAGCCTTACGGAAAAAGCATTACGATCCTTGTTCACTGGTGACATTACCTCAGATCTTAAAATTCTATATATTGATTTATCCAAAATAGAAAGCACAATTAGTGCCTTTCCCCAAAAAAATAGTTACGTTACAGCAACTCCTGCCGTTCACAAGAATAACACACCATTCTGGAACATCATGTGTAGTAAAAATGTAACGAAAAATTATTGAAGAAGGGGGACCGTCAGTTACGATTGAAAATGATGAGATGCTAATGGAAGCAGAAGAACAGTTAAATATTAGAGGCCATTGAACAACTTCAGTAAGAGCTAAATGACTTGTTTCCGTGGTTCATAATTCTTTTGGAAAGTGCATGCCAATTACATCCATTTTGTATGAAAGAAAGCAAAGCCATACTTCTTTCAGAAATACAGCATTTTAACTTATAGAGAAATATACAATTTCCGCCAAGTAGACATACCTGAGCTGAAGAACAATTTTCAGCATGCCACTCTGACCATTTCTTTAATAGTTCCTGTAGCCTTTGTTTGCTAGCCCTGAAGATGAGGATAATTATTACTGACGTTGAATTAAACAATAACTAATTTCTGCTGGAGAGAAAACCATTAGAAGCTTCATATATTTTTAGTTATACAACACTAAAACAAGATCGCATTCATGAAAACTTTGATTTTTCAGATTTTCTCAGTCAGTATGATAACTCCCACCTAACCTTGATAAAGAATTATAGATAACATGCACAGATGGTTGCTGATCATCAATTGTCTTCCGGGCTCTCTTAACACCAGTTATAGCTAGCAAGAAGAATTATGGAAAACAGAAAACACTAACAACTGCAGAACGAAAAAATTTCGATGGGCAAAAGGATAACAATGTAGTTGACATACAATTATCAAAGAAAAGCCTGCTTGAAAAAGTCAAGCTGAGTCAATGCATGCACAAGAGAGAAAGGTTTGGTTATTAAAAGTGAAGCCAGGATACAAATATCATCCAATGATTTCTTTTGGATGAGACTTTCATTTTGGACACTGAAACTAACATTTTCAGCATGCACCTCCGAGCTGAAGTTTCTGGGACCCTCTTCAACAACTGTAACAGTTTCAGCCAATTTAACATGCACTTGCACGGCAGATGACTCATCAACAGTATCTTTAAGCCGATCTGATTCAACACAACCATCTTCATTTCCAACACCACCTTCACTAAGCTCCATGCTTTCACTAAGCTCCACACTGCCTCCATCTACTTCGTCTTTTTTACCTCCAGAATTGCAAGTTTCAGAATTAGCTTCATGCAACCCGCAATCAGAGTTACCATGTTCCTTGACCTCAGCTTCCATGTTCAATAAAGGAAATGAAATCTCCGTCGAAATAGGTTTGATAACTGTATCACCAGAAATACCTAGGTGAGTGAGTCCCATCAGTAGACCAGAAACTAATTGCAAGTACAAACATTATCTTGAAAATGGAAGCAGTGATTAGCTACTCGATGAATTCTAGACAAAACCGTTGATAGGGATTTATTATGTCTTAAAATTTCAGTTGCCATGGCCAAGTCAATAGAAAATTTTTCTACAAGTAATAAATGCTTCATGATTTCTTCCAAACGAACAGAACAATATCCACGTCCATGACAGTAAAAATTGTCTAACGCCAAATTTAAAACCACAAAGCCTAACGCAATCGACAGTCACACTTTTCGATTCTTTACTAAAATCAATGACATTAACAAATACAAAAACAAAAAAAAAGAATTAAACCTTGGTCAGCTAATCTCAAGTAAGTCATTTAGTTGCAGGTACATCATTCATTTCTTTCACCATGATTTCAAATTCTCATTCATTCCCATTTATTATCTAGTACAATGGGCAGTAAAAAGAATACCATCCAAGATTAAGTAGATTCCGTTTCCTTACCTTCAAATGTGAAACCAAGAGCATGAACTGAATAAGACGAGTATATGAAAATATGTTGTGGGCGGCCAAACGAAGAAGAGTATACGCAGGAGAAAGACAAGAGAAAAGTGAAATTAGGGTTTTTGGACAAGAAAAGGTTTTACCTAAAAAGGATAGAGGATGGAAGAAGAGTGAGAACAAGATCAGGAAAATGAATCAGGATTCAAAAGGAAGGCTTTTAAAATTCTGAGGGGGCGTCACGATTGGATCGCGGTGCGTCGCCGTATAGCGTCGGTCCGTCGGATCTGCTCATCACGACTCCGAGTACAAAACGGTGCGTATTACCGGTTATAATGCTTGGCTTTTTTGTCTTTAAATTTACCATTTTTTAAAATTGTATTCATTATCACTTTTTCAAAATTTAAATTAATTTAATAAATTAAACTTATTTATTTATTTTTTTTCTATAGATTGTAAGAACTGTTATCTAATGATAAAATTTATTGAAATTATATTTGTTGGTAGCTTTTAGATTTGCATTTGGTAATCTATATTTAATTTTCTAATTTTTTAATTTTTTTTTCTATAAAAAATAATTTATTGATTTATTATTTATAAAAAATTAAGTCACACGAATATTTTTTATTTATTAATCTTAATTTTAGTAATAAGGATCACCAACGAGTACGTATGTATCCATACACCAAAAGAGGAACGGTACATACAGGAAATGTTCCTGGTATGTGCAGAGCTGTAAAACACGACGAAGATGCAACAGACAAAGCAAACTTGAAAACTGCAAATATATCTTGTCGTTGCAGCTCCCTCCTAGTTAGTTGAAGACATCGTCCTCCTCCTTTTTAACCATTGGCTTCTTCTGTTTCTTGGCATGAACTCTACCACCTCCCTGTCATCATCATCCAACTTCTTCCCTCCTGATTTTTGCTCCAGATATAATGATTCCGTACCATACTGCGTCGAACTGGATGCTGGCTGTGATGGACTTCTCTCGTAATCCTTTTTTAGCAATTCATCACCACTTGAACTATTCTCCGTTTCCATAGCTGCTTTTGCCTTTCCTTTAGATGTTAATATGTTGTTTTCTTGATCAGAACTCCAGCTAGTATCGCTCTCGCTGCTGCTTTCTTTCGACGACGTATTGCTTAGGGTGTGAAAGATTGTGACGGTACTCTCTTTCTTTGCAGCCTGGAAAGAATAACTCCTTGTTTTGCTACCATACAATGGTGGAAGCAGAGATTTTGACTGTGAACCAGCTCTATCCCCGCCCAAACTATACTTTGATGAGAGTTTTCTCTGTACACCTTCCCTTTCGCGTACCAGATTGCCTAGTGCTTCGATCACTTCGCTGGCTGCAGCTTCCTCTGCAGCTTTTTGCTGAAGTTCTGTGATTGTCCTATCAAATGCTTTCTTCTTGAGTTGGAGAGAACGCTGGAAGGGAAAGCTAAAGTGGTTAACATCTGTTTATTTTTTTCTTGGTTGGATTAAGTAGTTACAATGATAATAAGCAAAGGGGAACTAGAAGTTTACTCGCTTCTCAAAAAAGATTCCCAGGTCTTGACCTTGGAGCTTCTTTTTTCTCCAAAATATACAGCAGAATCGAACAAGTACAGCCAAAACTACCAATAAAACAGACTCAAATAGCAAGAACAACAGAATGACTCTTCTGTTACCTGGAGATATTAAGAATGAATGTCCATGTAAAGAATTTAGCACCATTCTAAATTCAAGTGGCTGGGACTTGCTTACCTGTATAAATACCGAGTGGCTTGGGCCTTGCCTGGTAGCAGCTAGATGCAAGTTTCTGACCTGGTAACAATTCAACGATGTCATCAAGAAAAAAATTCAATAAAAAAACTTCATTTCATTCTCATAATGTAAGAATAACTTATGGTTAAAAAGACAGTTACTCAAGGATCGACACTGCAGTGGATTGCCAATCTCTGTATCATCAGCAAAAACCAATGTGTGAGCATTCCAAGATATGGTGTCTAATTAGAAAATCAAAATATGCTTCTTCTTTTAATTGAAATAGACCACACCATGTTCAAATGCCACTATTTTTTCTTCAAGCTGAATCAACTTTTAACACTAACCTACAAAATTCTTAAATAAAAATGAGTAGTCGAGACAAATCTCACTTGAAGCAGTGATTAAGGCAAGAACGATTCGCTCATCCAACATAAAATGCTGCAGGTCCCTTTCTGATAAGAAGGATGAGAATTGATCTGATAAATGCAGCAGATTCCAAAAAGCATTTTAGGAAATGCATAACAAGACATGGTTAGGAATCAAAATTTTTTTTTTAGCCAAAAGAAGTTTACTTTACCAGGATAGCTTTCTGACCAATAAATGGACCCAGTTGCTGGAACCAACAAGGTGAAGAGTACACTTTTGGGTCTCAACACCGAGATGTAAGTATAGTCACCAATAGTTTGGCTAATCTTTCCCTCCATCTTGGTTTGGGAAATGTATACTGCATAGCCCGAGCAATCAAGATATGGATCTACTTGTATAACAGAATCCAGATTATCAGCTTCAGGGAACTTCTTAAGAACTCCAACTGGTGAAAAAGAATACAGATGTCCATCCACAGATCCAATGGATATCCAACCTGTGATGTCAATTAAAATGTGAGTTTCTAATGAAAAACTGCAGAATCCTGGAGAAAAAAAGTAAATCAAAGTTATAACAACAAGGGTCAGCATAAAAGAGTACCAAACAATAAAGTAAAACTATCATGATCACGAATTTTCTTATATGATAGATTCCTGAATCCTCAAAATTATGAACACATTTACCATTAGAATCGACAACAGGTGCGTATTCTGCAGTGCTCAGTGGCCCAATATTTCTCTGCCACAGGATCTTCCCTGAAGAAGCATCTAAAGAAAACACAAGGCCCTTAATCGGCATGATAACATATAGGCAGCCATTTTTTCCAGGGGTTATAGTGAAAATTTTGTCATATGTACTAAAATCCTGAATCCATTTGAAGTGAGGACTCCGAAGAGGCAAAGAATAAAGTTCTCCTTCAGTATTTGAGATCTGCAGATACAAATGTAAAGGGTGGCTTAACTTCTGAAGGGCATACATATACATATATATGTACATACATGTAGACAGTTTCTTCTTCTAATTTGAAAAAGAAACAAGGTGTTTCTTTCATGTATTTACAGTCATTATGCATGTAATTGGAAAAAATAATTGACAAGCAACAATAAAATGCTGAACATGAAGTGACCTTGCCAGTAACCCCTTGCAACTTACGTAACAAGTTAACATTTTCATTTTGCCAAATTCAATAGAGTGATAAGTTCACTGATTCAAGATTATTGCAGAAGGAAACTCAGGATAAGCAGACCATACATAGATACTAGCCTCACATCGATCAATCACAGGAACAGAAGCAAAGAAACAATCTGTAACAGCTTTCCGGCAACCTATCCGATAACCAAATTGTTTCAGCACAGGTCCAGCAATCCAGAGTGGTCGGCCATTTGTTGAGAATGCGAAGAGCCCTCGGTTTTTTATATTTATGAAAACGGATGAACTCAATGTGCTTACAGCAAGCCCAATTATTTCAATAGGTCCCTCTTGGCCTGGGCCTGGGCTGAAAAAATTTTCTGCTGCAGATCCTGAAGTTCCATTCTTTTTTAAATCAACTTTCAGAACCCTGTCTTCTGCAATCAAATATATCTGCCCAGGATTTTAGAAAGCAACATATAATCCATGTTGAAACAAGCACATGAGGGTTTGTTGCCTTGAATTGACCAGGTCAATAATAGAATTGCAGGATATGCCTCTACCATGTCATATATCCATATCTATTCTTCTCAAGAAAATGTCCATCTATTACGTAATTTATTTTCAGTTAATTAAGTTTCTCTCTCTAAAACCCGAGTTACAATACACCTAAATTTCACAAAATTAACTTATATAGGTCGACCAAAAGTAAAATACATACATAGCACTACATGGGAAAGAAAAAAAACCTTAAAAGTAGTATATAACATACTACAGGAGTTACATGGAGTTCATATTTACTAGTATTTAATCTTTGTAAAACCATTACATGTCATAACATTAACAACTAGGTGGTTCAAGCAAAACCAGGTTTCACTGTTAATTTTCTGGCTACTGGCGGCAGGGCAGGATTCGAAATAGAATACAAGTCAAGGATATTGCTTACCTTTCCCCTACCGCCGTGGACTGGGGCTTTACTAACGTTGCATTTATAATCTAAATGGAGAGACCAAGCAATGGAACCGTTGCCTTCAAATGCAAACAAATGCTCCTCAGAACAAACATAAACCCTCCCATCATCTCCAATTAGAGGCTTTGAAAGCCTATAAACTGCTTTTGCAGGAGCTGAAACGAAATTGCAGCATCAGAAATTCATAATCTCTGTCCATGGAACTGATTGTGTTCGCTGCAACAAACAAGCTACCGACATTTCTAAGTTCAAAAGATGTTAATCAAGATTTTATCAGGTTACTTGCCCTCTAGATCTGCACAGAATGGATCGTAAAGACCCCTAAGAATTTCATTCTTCAATCCACGGAATAGTTAAAAGACAGGAAGCGAAGGAAGCAAATGAAGAAAAAACAAAACAATTTTTCCCGGATAATAAAATTAGTTTTATCATCAAATTTTCTGTCCTCATTTTCTCGACAACCAACCAAACAGAACGGTGAGCAAAAAAGCAGACTTCTGAAAAACGTTGTAAAATTTGTAAAATGAAAATTGAAGCGTAGCATGCTGAACAGTGCTTGGAAAATGAAGAGAGGAACCGAAAATGAGAAGGGATGACCTGAGTATTGCTGTAATCCTACCGGGTGAGAAGACCCAGACAGTAATCCCAAGATCGGAAGCAAGAAGAAGGGGTGAATTATGCGCATTGTAGAGAGGAAACAGAATTTCTAGATGTATCTTGTGGCGGTGTTTAAAAGAGAGGGGAGAAGAAGAAGAAGAAGAAGAAGAAGAAGAAACAACGGTTTGTTAACCGCTGGTTTGGGCGGGCAATAGTCATATTTCATGAAGTTGATGTATAAATCAAAATCACGTATTTAAATGTCAAATTTGCATTTTACACTGAGACAAAATGTAATTAAACACAAATTTATTTCATAATTAATACAGCTTACACTCTCAGATAGAATTATATAACTAATACAAGAAATGGAGAGAGATTACTTATAATTAATACAAGTTTAGTGGAACTAATTAGTTAGGGGGGAACAGGAGGATGACATCTGTAGGGATAGCGGCAAACACGGCGGGGCGGCGGCCGTTTGACTTGAGGGATGCATTTTGAGTACGGTGTCTTCCGACCACAGTTAAAAACCGGACCACGGTTGCCCACGGGAATACCTACATATTAACAAACATTAGTCTTATCTTATGTTTGAAGTAAATACATATATATATATATATATATGTATATATTATTTTTAAATTTAAATTAACACCCGATATTGAAGAAAACATTTTTTCAATAATCAAAATTATATATATATATATATTCAATTAAATACATACATATATATATATATTCTACAAAATGTTCATTTCTTTCTGACAAAGCTAGCATTAAACAAAATATAAACATCTTGGTATATATAATTTGGGTAATTAAAAAACATATGAAGATTCATGTGAAGTGGAACCTTATATATATATATATATATATATATTTATGTATGTATGTATGTGTATATAGACAGATCGTTGTATAATTAATACAAGTATTGAATATAACAATATTTAGTCATTAATGATTAAAATAAATTATAGCAATTAATTAGTATTTTTTTTAATTTACGTGGCAAATTGCAAGATGTTTAATAAGGACTGAGATAATTGTTATTATTAATAATTTTTTAATTATGCAATTCTTATGTTCAAATTTATTCATATAAAAATACATATTTAAATTTAACCGCAGCATGTTTGATAATAACTAATTGGATATATATATATATATATATTTTATATGTTCTTAATTCTTTATCCCCAAATGTATAAGCACCATATAATTTTTTTAAATAATTTTTAAATTTATATGACATGTTCTCATGATACTAGAAAAATAAAAACTATATACATTAAAATATAAAATATTTTGATATATATATATATATGTGTGTGTGTGTGTTTGTAATAGTATAAGAAGAAAAAATGAATAATCTCACCACCACCATGTCCATGGTCAAGTAGCTGCCGAGCAGCCACACCAGAGGAAGAAAAGAGAAGGAGGTGGGAAAGCAAGAGAATTAGGGTTGCAATAAAGAAGCTCTTCATGTTTTTTCAAACTTTTAGTTACTACGCCTTTGCATATCTCCTGCTATTTATAATTAAAATTCAAAGCATTACCCCAGTTGTGGTGCAGATTACTTGCAGAAAATTTGATGTCTGAATCTTATCTTCTTCACTACAATAATTGATTGACTCCCGAGTCAATACCAGACGTGACATAAAATGTACAAATCTTCAGAATTCTAAAATTTTATCTTTCCATAACCACTCATCTATGGCCTGGCTAACATACTTTTCTTTTTTTTTTTTGGTAGAAATATCTATGGTTGTCTCCAAGATTTAAAATTTTAACAAATTTCCAACTATTTAATTGATTGATATTTGCCAAGTCATTTAGAAATTCACTGTCATACATGGTAAAAAGAAAAAGAAACACACAGAAACACAAGGATCAACACTTTGACAGGGATACAAGACTATGATACATAATGCCATACACTGATGCCACCGATTTTAAGAAATGGAGGCTAGAAAGGGCTGATCTGACGAGCCAACCATAATAAAAGCCCAGGAACAAGTTGCCTTCTCGGCGGAGACCTACCATCCTTCTCGAGAGCTTCCTTATCTCCGGCATGTATCACAGCAACTAGATTATCAAATAATTCATCCTTACCACCTCTCAAAGGATCCTGCAACATGTTGGCAAACTCTTGGATTGGATTATGTGGCCGAATAGGCTTCTGACACCATGTAATGAAATTCTAATATCTAGCAATATATCGCCAAACATTTCCATGTATTCCACTTTCTTTGTCAAACTTTAAAAGTTCACTCTACCGCTTTCCTATGTGCATCATGAGTTCTCTCCATACACAATATTCAAGGTCGGTGTGGATGATTACATCGGATGGACATTGAATAAGGGGTGGAGCAATAGAAAAAAAAACCACCTTAAAAGAAGAAGGTACTACTTCATTTTACCCTTGTGAAAATTGTGTGTTTTTCATTGCTGTGAGCAGACACGATATTAGAGACTCCTGACCTGTTTTACGGCATTCATGGAGAATGATAAAGCAGTTTGGAGCCTTAGTTGAACTATGCGCAGATGTGATCCACTAAACTCTTTTGCAGGGTAATTTTTAGTTCATCAAAGAGTTCGACCTTATATCAAACTTCAGGGAATCATTTCAAGTCCATCCAAACCAATAGTCTTCTTCATCAACAATACATCTATATTCAGGTAAAATTAGCCTGAGCTTCAGATTTTTAACTAAGTTTATATCCAGGTCCCCTCCCGAGTCCCAAAGTCAGTTCTAACTAATGGTGATTGATGACATTAACTCGCATATCTAAGTATGTGAAGTGGAATTTCAAAAATCTGTAGGTAAGATTTTAAAAAAGGGTTTAAACTTTAAACATATAGTTATGACATAAAAATGCCAGTATAACTGCGAAGGAACTTATGGGAATCACTACTTACTTGAATAAACAAATCTGTATGAGTTTTTCCCTCGTACAAAATTAGTTTGGCCCGAACTCCTACTCCTTCCAGAGCATCTGCAAAGGTTTTACTGCACATAGTATGTCAATGTCAAGAACAATTCTTCAAAATCACATGTTTTTAGCAAATTCAAATTATGTTCTCGGATACCACGAGCAAGGATGAGGGAATATCTTAGAATCCCATCCCATTCACACAAATTAAACAGTTTTATAATCTAGTATATTAAGTAGAAAAATACACAGCATAGTTTTATAATCTAGTATATTAAAAAGAACTCTAGGCACTCCCTCCATAGAAGTCACATGTCAATAAACCATTCAAATATCAAGCCTTTAACATGTAATTTCTTTTAAGACTCCAGATATAAACTTATCACGAAAGTTCAAAGCTGCTAACAGCCACAAGATACCCAGTTTGAATAGATGATTGACATGGATCCAGTAAGAAATAGGATTAACACGAGTTTTGATGTTATTAGCATTTAGTTGAAGATGTTTTTACCTGGCATCTGCTGGTATGGAGTAATCTGCGGTTCCGTGAAAAAGTGTAATAGGAGGCAGGAGGGAAGCAGCGCCCATAACACTTGGTTCCTTTAATCTAATTTCAGGAGAAAATCGTTGAAAAGACTCTATGCCCTCCATTATGCTTCGATTTCCCCCAAAAAAAACATATATATTAGGTGGGGAATTTGCATGGGTGATTATGAAGTCAAAAGGCCATAAGTTGAATACCTCAAAAAGATTGCACGATAAAGGCCTCGATTATGGAAGTGATCAACTAAACTAAATAAATTGTACCTGTATATTGATTATAGATCAGTGAAGCAAGCACATTCATTTTTGCAACTTTCTACCAACAGATCAATGAAGATATACAAGCAACCGGTATACCATTTATCAACAGATCAGTCAAAATACTTTCCACCAAAAGAAAAAACAGATCAATCTTACTAGGCCAGAATAAAAATATTCATCAGTTGCTACAACCTTCTCAACACCTAAAAACATCAAAAACAGTTTTTGGTTTAGATTTTAACAAGATCAAAAAAAGCTTTTACATCCAAAAATTCGGGAAAGAAAAAGGCTGGAAAAGTGCCTTGCAACTGAGGAGCTGATTCTTGCCCATGTTCAAGTATGACAAATTGCTCTGGCATAGGAATTTCAAGCCTTCGACTCCGTAAGTTTTTTTGCCATCATTGAAGCATCACAGCAAGTGAAATCACTGCCTGCTTCCATGATTGCATTTGTGAACCCAAAATTAATTGATGCACTGAAGTTGTTATGTGTTTGTGTATCATAAACACCGCTAGAGAATGTAGAAGGAAAAAGTCATTGACACCAGATAGACTTCATAAAACCAAATAGTTACAAATTGCAATAACTGAATTTGTTTCATGGTTTTCCCTTTCCATCATCAGAACACAAGGATGAAGTACAAACATAAAAATAAGAGAAAATAGAAATGGTACTTCTTCACAATGTTTACTAGATCTTAGGCCACGTAGGTCCTCAGCCACATCAAACACCACATTGTAGTAAGAGTAAAGGCCATACTTCTGCCATGGTCTTGTATGATATTAATACCATGAAAGAAAAGACAACATTCTTAGACTAATGAGATAAGAAATGGACATCCTATGGTGGAGAAGGAGAGCTACCATCACAATGTGCCCTGCAGATGGATCATTAATACTCAAGGCTATTTGAACAAGTAACCCCACATCAAACACCATATTGTAGCAAGAATAAAGGCAATACTTCTGCCATGGTCTTGTATGATATTAATACCATGAAAGAAAAGATAACATTCTTAAGCTGATGAGACAAAAATGGAAATTCTACGGTGGAGAAGGAGCATCACAATGTGCCCTTCAGATGGATCATTAACACTCAAGGCTATTTGAACACGTAAACCAGTGACGACTCTCCATATGCCAAAAAGTAGGGGTTTCTTCTTTCCGATGCACAAGATTAGAAAAAAAAGCACTTATTTGACATGGAAAGAAAATTTAGAGTTCTACTGGTTTAGACAGGTACTAATCACCACCAAGTAATTGGCAAATGAAGTAATAAGAAGCAAACTACGAGAGAAACAAGCATCTCAAATACAAATCTCCAGCAAAAATATACAAAATTTTACTGGTAGTAAATGGTAAAAAAAGATTTCAAATCCTATAAACATTTAAATAAAGCCAAAAATTAAAGTTTACCCTCCAGATAAACCAAAATAAGCTTTTATTTGGGAAACACTCCATGAGACCTTTTCTCCCCCAGCTTCTTTGACTGCTTGCTCCAAGAGAACACAAGCAGAAATATGTGCACCAGCTGATTGCCCCATTAAATAAATCCTAATTAAGAAAGTGAGTAAGAGGTCAGCAATACAGTTAAGGAAAAAAAAATTGTAAATGTGTGAAGAAAGAAACTAGCCTCTCACCTATTAGGGTCACCCCCATATCCAGCAATGTTATTGCAGACAAATGAGATTCCCTCGGTAATATCTTTCACCATATCACTTATGGTTCCCTGAGGAAAATTTCTGCATTGAAATATTAAATACCAAAGAAAAAATAATTTGTAGTGATGGCTGACAGAAACACAAATAGAAATATAAAAAGTATACTAAAAACCTTTGAAATCTACAGCATGTTGAGAGAAACGTGCAAACAAAGGAAACATTTTCAATTAACAAAATTTATTTCAAAATTAAGTTTAAAATTTTATGACTGCTATATGCTGCCCCTTCTCCTGTCGCCTAGGTGACAGTTAAGTTGAGATGGGTGATCGCCGGCTCAGTTGTGATGAGCTTTAGGTTTTGACAGGATAGCGTGGTGATAAAAGAATAAAAAAAAAAGCTGATTTCCTCTATCCCCTGGGCTTCATGAGTATTTGGACAGAAAATAATAGAAGGGTTTTTCATGATGTTGCTTCTTCTTTTGGTAGAGTTATAGGTTTATGGTTATACCCCATATTTTCTATTTTAAGGTCATTCTCTTCCTTTTAAAGAATATTGGATGTCATTGATATTTTGACTGAATTATAAATTCCCACTGCTATATATTTATGATTACTTGTGAAAAATTAAGGTTAAATTACACTCTCATCCCTTTGTCATTTGGTCAATCAAATTCAAGTCCTACTATTTGTGTTAAATTAAATACTGTGGTTTTGTAGGTAATCATGTTATATTCTATAATTTTTAAGAAAACATCTTCAAGTATCCAGACGAAACATGTCAAAATTAAGAAAAAAATTAATAAAAAATATACAAGATAAGAGTTAAAGAAAACTAGTAATCTTATAAAATGATGAACAGCCAAACCTCAGCTACTGATGAGCGTTTGGGACTATTATAACTTATGTTGTATTTTTAAAAATTGAATTTTAAAATAAGTATTTACTAAAACTGCTCTTACTCAAAAGTTGTTTGATGTTTGGTAAAAATAACTATACAAAGTATTTGTCACTTTAAAAAAGCAGAAGATGTGTGTTTGATGAAAATGACTTTTAAGATTTCAAGTGCAAATTTTTATTAAAAATTAACATTTTCTAAAAGTTAAAAAGTACGACTTTCGTGCTTATATTTATCAAAATATATTTTGACTTTAACTTTTGCCAAAAGTACTTTTCATTTTACCCATTTGGTAGCAAAAATGCTTTTGAAACAGAAAATATTAAGTTAAAAACTGCCTCAAAAGAGCCCGAATTGTTAAAAAAAAATTTTAAAAAAAGCACATAAACACACAATATTTGAATTTGAATTAAGCAAAATCACAAAAGGAGAAACTATATTTGTTCAGAAATTAAATATACACAAGGTGTCTCCGACATCCCATTGATCTTTAAACAATTTGTCTTCAGTCGATTAAATGGACACCATGTGGAGAACATGTCAGGCAATTAGTACCTAGGATTCATGTGCATTGGGAAAGCTAATTTGAAACTAAATAATGCAATATGATCTTGACTTCACTAAGAGCAGCTTACCTGTAATCAAGACATGCTACAATGATCTCCTTCTCTGCCAGCTGCAGACCCAAGAAGGAACCCCATGCTTTGTACCTAAAATCAGCAGAAGATAGTAGAAAGTTGATGCAAAATAATAGATAACTTGATTTTTACCGAGGAAAATGGAAGATATTACTTAAATCCGTTAAACAAGACCTTTTGGATAAGAGAATTTTCAAAGGATGGTTGGGTCCACACTGTTAGCCACTATGAAAAATAGTCCATGGAAAGACCCGAAATTCAACAAGATCTACATTGGGGGGAAATCTAAGCCCAAAATATAACTCTCCATGTGTCCAATTGTTAAAATATTTGGAGAAAATCCAGCATAAAGCTTCACGAGATACTTTCATGAATCCCACAGAGCCATGTTTTGGTCCTTTGGATTTGAAGAACCCCTTCTGATGTGTAATTTTTTAGTTGTTTTCAGAAAAACCACAGATGAAAAAAATTGAAGAACATTAATATCCAGTTTTCCTTAATGATCTTTTTTTAAAAAAATAAAGTTTCCTTAATGATATAGAAACCGAAACTTGGACAGCAGGCATATGGACTTTTCTTCATTTACGAGTGATGTACGCATAGATTTTCCTTTATTAGTTCTGCTTAGTTTCCTACTTCTAGTGCTACAGATATCCTGTTTTTCTTTCCCTTATAATATTAGCAGTAATTTTATGTCTTCCTTTCCTTTTTTACTTAAAGATACTAGCTTTCCATAACGAGCCATCTTAGAAAACCTACACACAACTATAAAAAATAGAACCATGATTTTTTTTTTAAATAAAAAGTATGAGATGTATATTAATAACATACCAAAATGGGTACCGCTCTTACACAAAAACTGTACAAAAGTATTAAAGTGTTAATGACATTCCAAAAATCTTCTTCACTAATAATGTTATGACTAATCAAAATAATCTCAAAACAATAGATCCACTTATCCCTTAATCTAGTTAATCCACATTGTTTACCCTCAAAAACTCTATCATTTCTTTATTTTCACAGAACCCAAAAACGATATGTGGAATTAAGTTAGCAATTCTTTGTTTTATACATAAACCTTCCCAAACCCAAACTTCATCCCGCAACACACCTGCCATAACCCAATTGATTTCCAACAGTCCATAGACCACAGTCCAAAGATAATACGCTGTAGGACACCATAAAAGCAGATGGTTGCCTGATTCCTCAGCCTGAAGGCATAGATGACATCCATTCACTATTACCAGACCCCTCATCCTTAATTTATCCAGAGTGAGAATTTTTCCCCATCAAGCTTCCCAAGCGAAGAAAGCAACACGTGGAGGAACCTTTGCTTTCCATATTTGATTCCAGGGGAAATTGATGAACCCCTCAGTACCACATTAAACAGAAGCTGGTAATAAGAGCGGACAGAGAAATTTCCATGCTTTACCAGACACCACCAAATTTGATCAGGCTGGCTGCTGATGTGTTGGGAAGCTAGAATCTTCAAAATGCCTTCGTATTCTAGAATCTCCCAATCATTCAAATTTCTTTTCACATTGATAGGCCACTCAATAGAGTTATTTTTCACCTGGTAAGCATTCTCAACCAGCATATTTCTTGACTGTGATAGGCCATAAATTCTTGGAAAACAACTACTAAAAGAACCATCACCCGTCCAATCATCGTGCCAAAATCTTATTCTATTTCCTTTCCAAAGTTTCCTTCTGGTACAAATAGAACCATGATATCTAAGTTTCTTAGATCACCCTAACACAAAGTCCACACTCAGGTCATTCCCCAGTCATGTGGATCAGGTACGAGTAACAAAATCTTATTCTATTTCCTTTCCCAAGTTTCCATCTGGTACAAATAGAACCATGATATCTAAGTTTCTCAGATCACCCAAACACAAAGTCCACACTCAGGTCATTCCCCAGTCATGTGGATCAGGTAAGAGTAACAAAACCAGTTTTGTGTTTCCTATCCTTGTTAACTGACGTTTTAGACACTAGGAAACAAGTTTAGCGACAGGCCTCTTAATGGATGGCCAATAAAACATAAAGTAAAGCAAAAGTCTTATCCCTACCAAGATGACATGAAAGACCATCTAGATGAATCTCACAAGGAAATTTCAACATACATGAAATGCATAACCTAGTGACTCTAAACAAGTATCCCTCATGTTCGACAAAAAATACCCAATCTCTACCATGACCATCCTTGACCTCATGATAGATAATCCCAAAATTAGGACAAGTAGGATATTCATCTCTATCCTATCAAAACTAATCACTTGAGCAACCATCTTAGTCAATATTGTGTTGGTGAATGTATATCATAAATAATTAACTAGGGCTAGATTATTTTAAAGGTGTACAGTGGTAACATATACCTCAATGCAATTAATTATTGGTTTTCTTTCTTATTCTCAAGAACTTGTGTATATAGGATCATGATGTTCAGCAAAATACATAACATTTTATTCTTAACATAATATTAGAGTTGTAGGTTAAAAAACTCTTAACTCCTTTAGAAGCCTCAAGCAGCCTTCATTGCCGAAATAAGAAAAACCCTAGGAGGCTAGCCTTCTTACCCAGTCACTGCAATAGCCACCATCACACTGGCCTTCACAGCTGAAAAATAGCCAGGTGCAAGGCCCATTATCGTGCACCACCAGCTAGCCGCCATAGCAACCACAGCACCACCAGTCTACTGCCAAGACCAACTGTTGCTCTGTGCAACCATATGCCAGCAGTGTGACCAACCTTCCAACAATACGACCAGCCACACGCAAGCACCAGCAGAGTGACAGCAGCATGCAAGCACCAGCAGGGCGACCAGCTGTGTGCAGCCACCCAGCATGCTCCCACTTCTGTGCACCACCCTCTGCTCCAGCAACCTGCACACCTGTCCCCTGCTGTCCTGCTGCAGCTACCGAACCAACCTTCATTGCTTGAATTTTCTACACCATGTTGGAAGCTATATCATAGGTCACTGGTGCTAACCCTAAAGTGGAAATATTGCAACAATCAACTGGAGAATTCCAACCAATTCAGATTGCCTATCATCTGAATGAAAAAAAATTATCTGAATTAGTCACAACTAATTTATATCATTCTCAAAGAAAAAGGGAAACTAAGTCATATTCTGAGCACTGGACCAAAATTGGGATACCACAATTTGATGTCTTGGATGAACAAGACTCGATAACAATGGCTAGGCTCTTGGATCCAATTTTACCAGAGATCAACGATACGTGTATATTCCTGCCTAATAGCAGGGAAATTGGGGAAGCAGTCAAAGAAACCTATTCGAAAGTGAAAGATGCAGCTCAAATATACAATTTGATGACAGAAACTTATTTTGCTAAACAGATAAGCAGATCAGGGACAAAATATGCTAGCATATTGAAAAACTGGTGGCAGGAACTAAATCAGTACCGCTATCTTACTGTAGATTGCAGCAAAAATGCAACAGCCCTGAATAAATTTGTGGAAAAGAATAAAGCCTATCTATTTATAGCGAGACCTCTCTATGGAATTTTATCAGGTGACGGTTCAAATCTCCGAGAAAGAAGACATGTCTTCACTAAGTGAAGTTATTGCTACTGTACTTGCAGAAGAAAACAGAAGGGGTGCTGGAACCTCACTCCAATTAAAGCTTGGTATGATATCCAAGAGTTTCAAACATCACCAACCGGCGAAGGAATTGAGTCAGACTGATACAGCACAACAGGAGGAGAGAGCAGGGATAATATATGGTGTACCTACTGCAATAAATCAAGACATACCAAGGAGGCTAGAAACTCCACAGGAAGCTCACTACCTCAAGCAAAGATTGAGAGTACAAAAATATCCCACATAAGCATCACAGAAAAGCTCATGTAGTTAACCAACAAGAGGAGGAGAAAGCCACTTATTTCAGTAAATTCAAACCCAAAACTGAACGCTTAAGATGCAGGCTTGAGAACCTGGAAAAACCCACAGCTGCAGATTTGTTGGCATAGTCAGACGCGTTTTCTATTTCACATAGTTTAAATGCTTTATATAGACTATTTGAACAATCATGAATTATAGATTCAGGGGTGACTAACCATATAGTCAACTCATCACAATACTTTCACACGTATGTTCCATGTCCAAATAGTACGAAATTTGTCACTGTTGATGGCTCCTTAGACACCATTGCAGGAAAGGGTAACATCAAGATCAACCCTAGTCTGGCTTTTAAAAATATGCTACATGGACTAAACTTTATATAAATACTGTACTACTTAGATGCATCCGAGTTATTTCTATCCACCACTACTACAGATTCCACAAACAAACTTTAATTCTATCACAAACAACTCGAACACCCATCATTTTCAATTTTGGAAGTTCTTGTTTTTCCTTTTTACTTAGAGACTCTTTCAATAGAAATTTGCACTGTGAAGTACATGAATTGGTTAAACATAAGTGTACAACATTGCTCAATAGCATTAAAAGAAGTATGAATCTATTTTTGTTAATATATAGTAATATTTAGAGATCATCCCACATTTCTAATATTTTTAAAACTCAATGATTTGTCTTTTATTAATGATTGTATAAGAGTTACATGACTTTTCTTATTTATAACATTTGATGGGAGTCATATAACACCTCAATTTTGCAATATGATTAAAATCCAGTTTAGAACCCATATCAAAAGATTTTGCATTGACAATACCAAATTTTTTTTCATATTACACTCTCATCCTTTCACCAAGAAGGGATTATTCATAAATCTTCATATGTCCATACTCCATAACAAAAAGAAGTGGCGGAATAAAAGAATAGCTACCTACTTGCTACCACCCGAGCCTTCTTATTCCATGACAAAATTCCAAAACAACATTAGTGGAACGCAATCTTAGTGTCACTTATATTATTAACCGATTACCCTCAAATGTTTTGGATTTTAAAAGCCTGATGGAAGCACCCTCAAAATTCTTTCTAGAAGTCAATATCACAAACCATTTGGTCCCTAGAATATTTGGGTGTATTGTCTTTGTTCATATTTATTCATATCAAAGAAGGAAACTTGATCTGATAGTCCTAATTGCGTGTTTTTAAGGTACTTCTCTTCTCAAAAGGGATACAAGCACTATCATCCACCTATACAAAATTCTATGCGTATGCATATATTACATTTGTTGACAAAGAACTTTAATTCTTTCACCTATACCTACAGGAGAAGTTTATATTGGAAGATAAAGATAGTATTTATTGTGTAACCTCAAATTTCCATCTATACCACTTATCCAATCTCTGTCTACACTATGAAGGGAAGTATTGTTAACCACCACAATCAGTGAGGTGGTTGGATTTGAGAGTTTAAATGAACAGTATGAAGAAGATGAAGAGCTTGGATAAGTTTGGAACAAAACATCAACAAAAGTGAAACTACAAAGACTTTCATATTAAGTGAAACTACAAAGAACTTTAATTCTTTCACCTATACCTACAGGAGAAGTTTATATTGGAAGATAAAGATAGTATTTATTGTGTAACCTCAAATTTCCATCTATACCACTTATCCAATCTCTGTCTACACTATGAAGGGAAGTATTGTTAACCACCACAATCAGTGAGGTGGTTGGATTTGAGAGTTTAAATGAACAGTATGAAGAAGATGAAGAGCTTGGATAAGTTTGGAACAAAACATCAACAAAAGTGAAACTACAAAGACTTTCATATTAAGATGCTTTATCCAGATATAAATGCTCAAGTATGCCAAGAACCTCTTTGTGATAAAAGATGAGTACAGACATGCACGATGGTGGAATTAGAATGCATCTTGGTAGATATAAGGAATATTGTTAGGCTAGAAGAAAAGAATTTTCAGCCCTCAAATGAAGAAAGATGCAGCAAAACCTAGTGAAAAAGTTTCCAGTTTGTCAAGTAGCAAAGCGGCAACCTCAAAATACAGGTCTCTTTGTGCCTCTACTTGCTTCTTAAAGTATTTGGAAAGATCTTAGTCTGAGATTTTGCATTAATGCTGAACAACAGAGAGATAGTCTGGATGTTTTAGTTATTGACCAATTACAAAGATGGCACATTTCATTCCAAAATGGGACTTGCACAAGCACAATTTGCTTATAACAGTACAATCACAATTCCACTGGCAAGTCACATACGAAAACTCCAAAACTCACTGGAGTAGAGTGAAAACAATAGGACTTGCACAAGCAACATGGTTCCACTGGCAAGTCATCCTTCCGCATTGCTTTCATGAGATTCCAAAGCATGTTCTTGACCCAAACAAGTAGCCTAATTTGTTTGGATATAATGTAGTAGTTAACAACATGGTTGAACACATTCGGTAAATTCCTCCCAAGATAAAATGCTTGAAGAGATTAGTCTACAAGCCAGCAGCTGAGCAACGTACAAGGAGTTTCAAGAAAGGGATATGGTCATGATCTTTTTATCGAAATGAACATTTTCCATGCTGGAACGTAGAATTAACTGAAACCCAAGAAGTGGCATATTCCAAGTTTTAAAGAAAATTAACGAGATTGCTTATGTCATTTATCTTTCCAGTGACATGGCCATGTCTAAAATTTTTTATGAATCAAACTTCTATAGTTATGTCTCGCCTAGAGGGTCATTTTATCCTGAATCTAACTCAAAGGCAAGTTTAATTCAAGTGGGAGGAAACTAAACCTAGAGGGTCATCTCATACTGAATCTAACTCAAAGACACTTTCAATTCTTTTTTGTGTTTCTATTTTTAATATTACAGGTATATTCTCTTTCTTTTCCTTATAGTATTAGGTGCATTTTGGAGTAGGTTTTTACTTTTTAATTTTTTTGCATTAGAATTAATTTGTTCCTCATTTTAAAGAGTCTATAAGTACGTAAGAAAACTATATTATAATCAGTTCGGAATTATAATATCTGAGCAAATTACACAATAGTCCTTCATGTCTAAATACAAGCGCAACTAGGTCTGTCATTTTTTTTTTTAGATAAACTAGGTCGGTCATTTTTTAAAAATAACAATCTAATCCTCCAGTCATTTTACCACCACTGCAAACATTTCCTAAGAAAACAAAAATAAGTTCTTGCATACACTTGTTCTTCTTATAGTCTGATTGCTGCTTTCTTTTTATCATCCATGCTGAAACACTTTTGGGTACAAGTACAGTTTTGAATATAATTGTTATGCACTTCTTGTATACACTTTCCAACAAATTACAACTAGGTTAATAATTTTTTTAGAATAACAATCTAATCCATACAGAACTTATGCATTAAATTTTTAGTGATTCCTCTCTAGCTTCTCCTAGAAAGTTTCTAGGTATTGACAGCTAAGCAATTAACCCATCTATGTTACATTCTACATGGCCATTCTGCATCAAACACCATTAAGAGCATTTTGAACTTCAAGAAAACAAAACAAGATGCCAATCTTAAACTAGAATTGACAGTGCTAACCATCATAACAATTAGCTTTCTAGGAAATAATGCCACGATTATGCCTTTCACTATCACAGTGAACTGTTTTGCTAAAACCCAACAAGCATAATAATGCCTCTACTTAGCCATGCTCTAATATAATTAATTCAATTGGATGCCGAAACTTGTTGATAAACTTAAGATTCAACATGTAGCCTAACATTTTGTAGGCTGCCCACCCCGGCCCCAACATTAGCAATGAATAAAAATTACTCACCCAATAATCCAGGCTCCACCAGTAACAAAAACCACAACTGGTTTTGGGCCACTGCTGCTGGTTGGTAAATATAAATCCAACCTGTAAGTCATCATCCAACCATCAAAGAGAATATTCAGTCCAATACACATGATGTGTGCAACTTTTTGTAATATTATGAGTGGAAGATGGTTTGTTGAATGCATCTGCTATTCTTATCACACGTTCACATATCTTTCCTTTTTCCTTTTTTTTTTTTTGAGAAGATACACATCTTTTTTTTTTTTAAAGAAAAGAGAAATATTATTATGGACAATAGTATCAAGGAGGTACTGTCCGTATACAAAATAGATTCTGAGAAAATACACATCAAATACCTATTCCTTGGCTGATCTCCATAAATGATACTTCTTCGAACTTGGCTAGAGAAAAAGTAAGAGTATGCAACTACAGAAGATCCACAAACAACAAGTGTTACATTGTCTGAACACGCACGTAAGACCTCCAATTATATGCTTTATTTAGATGTTTATTGTATATAACTTCTATTATCCAGCATCTGTCAACAGAAACTATCATGCGTACCTTGAAGAAAACCAGGCATGAGTAGCATAGCATAACAAGCAAGAGCAAGTAATCTTGTCATCCATCTGTAACCTACCCTGAATGCAAAATAAAAGGTTAAAAACAGTGGGTCTTCAGAAATTGCAATGACAACGTTCTGGATGAATGCTCTACATGTACTTACAAAAGTTTAACTTGAGGTCCAACGGAGGGGAAAAAACAAAGATTTGAATCGCACAACACATTCTTGATACCAATTTTAACCAAGAAAAGTACTAGCAAGACTAATAACAATTCTAACCAATAAAAGTTAAATCAAGACCCGAAAGCAACAGTTGGAAAACATTTACACTGAATAGGCTTCAGCTTACCAGTAAAAATCATTTCTCCTCACACACCAATAATCGATGATCAACAGGAAACGAGAATATCAAAAGAAAAAAAAAAACAAAAAGTAACCACAATGAAACCCTCTGGGCTGTCATCATTTTCACCATCCAGGCATTATTACACCTAAAAGTTAGAAATTTTGAACGATGTTCTCATTATTTTTACTATCATCATTGACAAATTAAAATAAAGGCCTGATTCAGCTAAAGAAAAATAAACAAATAAAAATACAAAGAAATAAACCCAAATCCAATTATCACTTTCGCATGCCCAAAAAAGAATGTCGCTAATTTATCCAATTAATACATGCATTACTTTATAGAAGACATACAGTTACATGCATCCATAAATACATCAAAAAATAGTGACATGCATGAATAAATACATGAAAAATGCAGGACTACAGCTTAGAAGTTGAAGAAATGGTACCCGAGGTACCGGAGGAGCTTGAAGGTAAGGCGAGTAAGCAGAAAGGTCTCGGCGGCGGCGTGACCTATATCTCGGCTGAAAGACTGCTGGCGGGTCAGAGGAGTCGGCTTAGCTGCCGGCGGGTCAGTCTTCCCGCCCAATCGGCGGCGCTTCAGTTCGGTATTATCCGCAGTGGGGTAACCGAAAAACCGGTAAATTAACGGTTTGGTATTCATTCGGATAGGTATTGCAGCCGATTCAATTTCAGATGACCAAAATCGAACGGAAAAAGCGAGGATGATAGAAGAAGATTAGATTGGATCGGAGAGTAAGATAAAAGGTTTTCTTTTCGTGTATAATTTATTCCCTGGCTGTGTTTGTGATTCTGGAAATCTTAATCTTCAGTCGCAAGAATTACTTGGCGTGAGCGTCTTGTATTGCTTTCATGCGATTTACTTTTTAATTATTTGTTGCAAGGAGTTGCAGGCTACCTGATATTGATCTATGCGCGTGCAGTGTCGGACAGGAAGGCAGACACAACGGTTGAAAACTTTGGATTGGGATTGCCGTCTTTTTCATGATTTGAAATAAAATATATATTTAAAATTTGATTACTAATTTCATACAGAAATTGTTGCGAGCTGTAAATTTTCCCACCTTCAATATTTAAAGGAAACTTGGGGGAACCCAAGTGATTTAGAAAACCAAGTCGACTGGTAGTACCATCAAATATTGTTTAATCCAAAAATAAAAAAATTATAGTAGAAATTAATTTTATGGAAAAAAATCGAAAACTCCATTTCAATTGCTGGTTCCACTGCCCCGTGTATAAGAAAAAAAGCATAGCCAAAATTTTGATTGGTTTTCAATTCTGAAAATTGAATTAGACAGTTTGCTACTAACCAATCTATGGTAAAAGACTTGACATAAAACATATAAGAGTATCTTATTGTTTAGCCATGGCATAAAAGGCAATTTGAAGAGACAACATCATTCTTGTTTCAAGCATAAACCAGTGAACGCAGAAAGAAAACAGTTATTAATAATCTCAGGACGCCAGCCACTGGTCCTCTTTTCTGCAATCAGTTTTTCTTCCAAAAACAACTATATAGAACATTTTCTTCTTCTTCTTCTTCTTCTTCTTCTTCTTCTTCTTCTTCTTCATCTGCGCAAGTCCTTCTATCTTAGCCACCATCGTTGAGCAGTAGAGACTGGCCGACTCAGGAACGGTGCATATCGATGGATGAGCGGGTTAACTGTTCTCCCAATCTTGCCCCACACACTCTGATGGTATCCAGCAGTCGCGGGGGCATGATACATGAGCTTCAAAAGCTGCCACACAGATTCAAATGACAAAATCGAACAACGGCAGAAAGCAATAATGACAACCTCAGAATTGATGACTTCTGCGGTTCGTAGTAGCATATTAACTAACATTAATAACTTCTAGGGTGCTCTACTTACCACCAGTCATTCCGTCAACCTAACTATTAAATCCAAATAACCTAAGCAAACCAAATCTCATATGCTTAATATCTCCTACTAGTTAGCAAATTCATTCATAAATGTATTCCACTAAATTTTGGATTTATTCCTAACATGTATTTAATTCTGTGACACTCTTTTTGCTAAATGCTGGTTGTTCTACTACCGGAACAAAATGCTAGAATCTTCCATCCGCATATTCAACATCCTCAACCTATTCTTGATGAGGTGGAGATCATGGCCTCCTTACGGGCTAAAGCACGTGAATTTTCCAGGGATACCTTTGCCTCAATCTCTTGTCTAGTAATCCTCTCACTTAATATAATCTTCTTCTTTCTTACTAAGAACAAACTAACAGAAAAGATATTGGGCTGGAACAAACCTGCCAGTACATGAAAGTCTGTATTATGTTACGCTGCCATCTGCATCATTAATTAAAAATGAGAGATTGAATTGTGAAAAATAAAAAATATTATAAGTAAACTTCATCAACATGGAAGAATAGGAGTGTGAACAACTAACGAGAACAAAGAGATAATCAGAAGAAAGCCAAGTCCAATCTCAGCATGTGAAGCGAGTATGTTGAGAGTAGTTGTGTTTGATTCTACCCACACACAAGCATCTTCCAAGTATTTCCTGTTCATCAGAAAAGAAAGCATCAGAGTTTAGAAGAAGTAAAATTTCTGACATACAGGAAAAAAAGCATTTATTTAGCAGTAAATAACATGTCAGGGAAAAAAAGATGTACACAAGATGAATCAGTGCACAGTAATAACTAGTGACCATCACGCTTTAACTTCTACCAATATCTTCTCAAAAATATATTGTTGCCCACGAGAATGGAGCCCAATATAACCTGCTAAGACCATTCTTGCCTCAAAATATCGTGATACGAGCAAAAGTATAAACACTAATACTAAAGAAGAAGAGGAACAAAAACATTTCCAATCAGGGGGTACAGATTTCAAATTTCATACAAAGGTGAGCATCCATATAAGAATTACCTCCCATGTGAAAACCTTTATCAAGAAAGGGGAAAAATATCCCATGTGAAAACCATTCAGTGTTAATGCTATGAAAAAATATCCCATGTAAAAATCTATGAACTTCTGAGTGGAGCAAATTAAACTAACTACAATGGACCATGCAAATCAAACAAATGGTATTCAACAAAACTCTCAATTTAAGTTTAACTTACTAAAGAATTTTACCTGTATAAAGTGGAACGACTAAAATTACGCCGTAAAAACTTAGCAACATGTTCAAGAGCCCGGCATAGAATGGGAATTAAAGCAACTGCAAAGAGGAACAAAAATCAATACATCATACCAGATACAAGTATAACATAGAACAAAAAATCAGAAGTAATTATGATTTAGAATGAAAACAAGCCTACATTTAAGACAAAGATGAGAAGTGACAAATGTTAGGCAATAGATGAAGTAGATAAAATCTTTGGTTGCAATTATTGACTGGAAGTATACTTGCAGCGCCTGCAAATTCCATGCCCTCGGTCTCTGTGAAGGATATAGTACAGGTCAATGGGAAAGGAACAGCAACATAAAACTATGTGGAGAATGATTAAGTGAAAACAAGGATTACCCCATATAGCGAGTACAACGAATACAGAGACGAACATGCTGTACCCATAAAGGACAGCCGATATGCCCTATTCGAAAGATTCTTAGGCACAAGTGGGAAGATCGCAAGCACAGCCACAACAGAAACCTACAGGAAATAAACATGTGATCAAATATGAATATTTGCTAAAACAGTGCCTAGTTTACTAAAAGATGAGGATGAAACATGGTTTCTTAATTTTTATACCTAAAAGCTACAATCTACATTATGGAGAAACTCTCCAGCAATCTGAACGTTTAGCGTCACATAATCATGTCTGTGATACCAGTACCAAATACTTCTCTTTGTCTTTAGAGAAAAAGTCATTCACTTCTCAATATCGAACAACCAATGCAACAGGATTCAGAAGACACTTTCTAGACGAAGAACAATAAAGCTATTAAAGTTTTCTTGTTCTTGGAAACTGGATATAGTATGCCTTCAAGAGTCTATGATAAAGACTTTCGCAGACCAATTAACTCAGTGCATTTGAAAGGTGAGGGAAGTTGGATGGAGGGATCTCTTGGCTACCAGGGTAGCTGGGAGCAGTATTGTCTTGTGAAATATGTGTGCTATGGAGTTAGGGGACTGGCACAGGGATGATTGCTCTGTCTTGTGTGAGTTGAAATGTAGGGCATTAAGATGGAGTTAGGTGTTTACAGCTGTCTATGGGGAAGGCGAAGGTAGTGAGAGGGAGGCTCTATGGAAGCATGTGACTTCTCTGAGGTGATCGGGGTTATCTTAGCATGATCCTCACTATCCATGTGCATTCCGCAAAAAACAATTCTCGGACTTGCGCAGAAAAATTAAGGGATCTTTAAGACAGGTCTGATTTGTTGGATTTTCTCCTGTATTGGTGGTAGATGGATATGGTCTAATTCTAGGGATAGATGAGTTTCTCCAGAATTAACCATTTTATTGTTTCTGCTTCCTTTCAATCACATATATTGGGCCTCTTGCAGCTTTTTTTGGCGAACCTGCCATTCAGATTTGAAAATAAACAGCTCAAAGTTCCAGACTTCTGAGATGGAGTAAAGGAGTGGTTGGCGAAGGTTGTTGTAGAGGGTTATGCCAATTACAACATTGCTAGAAGCTCTTCTACTTCTGCTCCTCTCCATTTATTTACTAATTTTATCCAACTATGGTGTAAACTTATACAGAAGTTGTTGCCATCTACCATCATGCACTTTTTCTTCCTTTATGAGAACCTACTCTTTCACCTTTGCTCTCTTTTGGTCATGCTCAACCAGAAATTATCCCTCTTCTAACCCTAAGATTGAGGGGTTGGCTTCTATCTTACATGTGTGAATCCTCCCAGGACTTCTAAGAAGGAAAAGGGACCGTACCTATTTAAGAATCACCCATAGAAAAGAAGAAAAATGCACTGATATATAGTGGCAATCAGGATAGGATTCTGATGGCAGAAGTCACCTGCTCAACTTGTTTTGTCCTCTGATTATCCAAATCTACTTTAAGACTAGGAAAACAGGCACTACATTAGCAGTGGATAAGCTATCATACAATCTTGGGAACTCTCCAACCTGATCAATAGACCCATAGCATCCTAAATCTTGTCAAGAAAACCAAAATAAAAGTAGCTTCACAATTACAGTAATGACCAATGTACGCTCCAACAAGGTTTGACTAAAAAACTAAAAGCTACTATAGTTCAAAATGATTTGGTTATAAATCCAAATAGATAAGATTTCAAGTTAAAGAATTTTCTCAAAAAAATAAGAATTTATCTAGATGTTCCCCAGCATGCAATTCTGGCAGAATACATATCTATTTTCCAAAGAGCGCTTATACTGACTCAAAAAGAAAGCAAAACTGAGATCAAGCAAGAATCAATTGTTTAGAGTCTCAAGGTAACAAAACCAGGAATTACTATAATGTCTTCTTGCATAAACGAGCAACCGATCATCATCAAGTACCACACGTGTATATTGCTTCTCATTATTAATCTTTGAGAAGATTTAGAAATTGCCTGCCTCCCTCTCTTTTACTATACTATCGCCTAATATAGACTTTTTATTTCCTTTTTAATCTAAGTAATTGGTATGCCCAATTTTACACCAAAAAAGCAACACAAACTTACTATACAAAACAGACAAATTTGTTTCTGGCTAACAAAGAATATTTTTAAACATGGACTCTAGTCAAGACTTCAGGAGAAAGGAAAGAAACATAAAGCATTCAGGAAATTGCAACTTGAACTAATTGGGTTACCCAAAACCAAGAATTCATCAAAGTTTCAAGAATTCAAACTCCTAAAATGTTCAGATCAAAACAAGAGTACTGTAAGCTCCAATAATTATACACAAGTTCTACATCTGGTTTACTCACGTGTATGCTCAGAAAGGAAAACAAGGCAGTATTACCCAAGCATTGATAGAAAATTGTATTGTTTGACGATCCCAACGCAAGGAATTCGGATTTGCACCTGCTGCTGCTGACGACCCTGTTGTCCTAGTAGTTGAACCTGCACCGTAGATTTTTTCCCAATTCAATGAAAAAATAAAAAAGAGTTCCTTTCTAGCGCAGAACTATTTTGAATGGTATTAGTAAAGCTTCAGGTTTCTCTTTCCTGTTTCTGTAACTAAAGCAACAATTTGAACCTGACTTACGTGGTCGAGCTTGTTCATTTGCTGGTCCTGCTGAAGATGAGGATGATGTGCTTGAAGCCATAGCCTCCACAATAAGCTCAGGATCCTGCTTATGAACATATGCCAGCATCAGAAAATAGTCCGTCGCTATTTCAGAAAAAAAAAAAAAAAAAGGAAAGAAAATAGTTCTTTGCTGCAGAAGATATGATACTGCAGAAACATGGCAAATTTTCGATGTGAAATGATGTAATTACATCAGACAATGAGCAATCTTCACCCAAGGAAAGAAAAATACAACCTTCCAACTTCCAAGTCATTGGTGCATTCATATAATTGGGAAAGTCTGATTCCAAGGTCCTAGTTCTGGCTTCTTTGAATCCTCGGGTAGCAATAAGTAGTAATTCAGGATTTAATAATCCTTTATCCCAAATGAACTTCCATAAAGTCAAGGTGCAAAACACACCCCAAATGAACTATCGTCTAAGATTTGACCAACAACCAACACCAAAACTCTAAAAAAAAAAAACAAAAAAACAAAACCCAAACCCGCAGACATCACCCTACACTTACAAATTACAATAGCATAAACACATAAGATATGCAACTCTAAACAGAATCGACTGGACAGCATAGAATGGTAATCAAGAATCAAAGAAAGAATTTGAAAGTAGCAACCAGAAGAGGAAAAGTATACGGGACTAACATTCGAGCCAAAGAAAAAAAATGACGAAAACAAAATCCACTTTCCCCAACTTGGAGAAAAAGAAATATCAACTAAAAATTCACAACAAACAATATGTAAATGTGTATATATGTGCACATGTAGCCGAAGAAAAGGAAAATCCGGATGAATTTATCCCAAAAAACCAAAAAGAAGACGGACATGAGATTTAGAGGATATCAATTCTAGACCAATGGAGAAAGCATAGCAAGAAGAACCCACGAAGTATCTATTCACAAAAACAGAAATCTACAGAGACAAATTAGGACATTAAGAACGAGGTAGCAATTGGAGAGTGTACGAACGATGAAGCGCTGGTAGAACTTGCGCTTGAAGTGATCGACAACGTCGGGGCGAGACGCCATGTTGGGAGGGATTAGTATGTTGGACCAGTAATCGGCCCATCTAGGGTCGTTGTCGTAGTCGTACGCCGCCGCCGCTATTTTCTTCAGCTTCTGTGGATCCTCTCTCTCCTCCCCCATTTCTTTGATCCTCACTGAGTTGTCTCTCTTTCGGCCACTTCCTTTTCTTTTTCTTGGTTTGTTTGGGAGAGGGGAAAGTGGACCTCCGGCTCTAATTTTCCTTGGCTACGCGCAGGAATATAGGAAGGGAGTGGGTGATTTTTCCCAGGGAACGAAACGACGAAAGATTGTACGAAAATGTGTCGTTTTAATAGTTTTCAGCTATGAGAGCAAATGATTGAATCAAATAATATTTAGTCTCATCTTTACTTGAAAAATTTTTAAACCAGGATTTGGTTTAATGCAGCCCCAACCAATTAATATTTTTTTTAATAAAATAAAATATATATAAATAATATTTAAAATTAAATTTTGGTCTATTTCCATCCGACTTAATTTGAAGTTATATTGTTCTAATATTTGATTTGAGAAGTTTCTTTCATTTAATTTCAGTCTAATTTAAATTTGAATCAACCTAGTAAAATAAATAAATTAAAAATAACTGTTTTATTTTAAAAAATTATATTTATTTTTATGCAATTAAGGCATAAAATTCATGTCATTTAAATTTAATACCAACTCAAAATAATATTTTTTTTTTTTTTGGTTATGAATTTATGATAATATTCTAAATATAAATTTCAAGAGAGATTAAGTATTTTAATAAATCTATTTTAGCTATAAATTATCAAATATTCGATGACATAAATTTCGTTGACCGAGTAAAGTTTAAAAAAATTCCTCAATTAATTTAATAGAAATATAGTAACTTTTGTTTTCGATATTTAGAGAAGAAATTATAAGTTTTTTATATTTTCTTTAGCTCTTCTCCTTATCTTCCTCTTGCGAGCTGTTTTAACTTTAAGGACTTTTTTTTTTTTTTTGGTGGGAACTGAACTGGATCGTATGGTTTTAATTTCGGTATGAATCAAATTATTATTTTTTTATTTGGTTCGGTTTGAATCAATATATTAATAATTTGTTTGATATGCTAATTAAAAATTAATACTTTATTATTATTATAGATTATATCAAAATAAAATTAAATGCGGGTGTAAAGGATATTTGATATAATCCCCGTCCGACATTTATTTAAGAATAATAATATGATTCAACAACGATGAGTACATCGGCAGGTTCCGCTATCCGCACACTGAATGCTGTAGAGCCTCCGGTAATTGTTTGAGTCGCAGAGGGCTCTGCATACGGCTCCCGTGCACAAACCCGGCGTAGGAAACAAGTCGTCACAGAAGCCCGGAGGGTTCTGCATCACCCCACCTGCACCGACCATCACCGAATGCATAATAAGCGCGCTGATTTTTCACGCAAATGACATATTGAAAAGCGATAACATGAATTAAAAAAGTACCTGGGAGAGAGACGAGCATAACAAGCGTGGCTAAAAATGCAGCGAGGATTGTAGGCCTCATGGTTTTCTCTCAAAAGCCCAAAAAATGATGAAACGCTCTAATGAAAAGACTGGGTTTTTATAATTTTCCCCTTTAATTTTTTAACCTCTAAATTTATAATTTAAAATAAAGAAAATTATTTTATTTGTTAGAAACATTTTAGGGTCGAATTACTAAAAATGTGGAAGAAAATTAAAAGCAATGTAAATTTTTTATTCAATGGTTATTTAATTTACCGTTATTTGGTAACTGATATTTTCATTGACTTATTTAATTATACTACACATTTTGTGGTCATCCAAAAAATTAAATTAATAAAAATGAAAAATTCCCTTTAATATATGGGTAATAGGCAGAAAATTACATCGTTTGAATGAAATTTTGAACTGTACCTGGGGTGGAGACGAGGAGAAGCACGGCCAAAAATGCACCAACCAGTTCCATCTTCATGGTTTTCTTACAAACCCAACACTAAAAAATGGGTTTTTATATTGTTGACTTTGGATTATATCTATACATTTTTCTATTTTTATTTTTGAAAAACAATATCTAAAATCTAATCTCATCTCTCACAAAATCTTCTCAAGCAACATAAATTTTCAAAACATAAATCTTTTGCATTTAATTTTCACATTGCTTTTTATTTAATTTCAGATTCTCCATTTTACCAAATTCAAGTCTCATCTTCTGTCACAACTTACCAAAATAAGAGAAGAAAATAAATCAAGAAAAATCAGAAAGCCAAAGGGTTTTGCATTCGTGTGACGATTTTGGGATTTGCTCGTCTTCTTCTTCCGCAACCTTCGCCATTGACGTTTCTTTAGTTTTTTTTTTTTGTTCTCAAAAATAAAAA